CGACACAGATATTCCCGTACATTTTATTGCAAAATGTTGATTGATAATCCCATGCAATTAAAATGTCTGTCGCAGATGTTTGAATTTGAACAGATTGTGAATTATTGATATTCCACAATATAATTAATGTATGCAGTACAACGTTCAATTATTTAAAACAGTATCCATATATTTGCATAAACGTGTAGTAATTTGAAATATAATGTAATAAAAAACTAGTGCATGGCATCGTGCCCTAAGGCAAATGGATCTTTCCGTACTGCAATGAAATATTCGAGGTATTTTAAATGTTTTCAAATAGAATTATTTTAAATACTGTAACTTTCATAGTTCGTATTTTGTCAACAAAATTAGACGACGACGTTTATATATGTTTCCAATAAGCAAAACTTAATAAAGCGGAATTAGAATGAAGGTCCTTATATCATATTCATAAGAATTATATAAACTTAATTTCAAAGTCCAAATTATTTATTTTAAGCATTTAAGTGAGAAGTATATAAGTTCGAATTGCAGCTAGAATTAAAATTAAAATCCGAATCATTTTCGACATTCAAAAAACATATTGCTTGGATATTAAAATAAATATTTTTTTGAACTTTTGAAATAAAAAAATGCTCTTAATCTCCAAAAACTAATACTTTCTTCACACTCACAACAAAAGCAAAATGTTTCTTGAATCATTCTAATCGGATGCTCCATTTACTCAAATCTGTGATTTTTAGCACAGATTGCTTTTTGCTCTGTATCTCCCTAAACCATTTGCCGAAAACTAATCAGCACGTCTCCTTATTAATGAGAATCGAATGTTTTTTTAATCGCCCAAAATTGTATCCACGCTTACGCAATACGCACACACACATAAACATGCGTAAAGTTTTCTAAGGTATGCCAAAATGCTCAGAAACCTTTGAAATTTAAAGACATGCAAAAATTTTCATTTTCGATTTTTGGACGATTACTGTAACCAATCACTACGATAAGCTGTAATAATCGACTTTCATTTATTTGACGATAACTCCGAATTGCTAAAATCAATTGGTAAATGGTGCATTAAGAATGAAAATAACCTTCTGTTATTTTGTAATGCATATTTTATTCGAGTATGTGTGCATATCATCTATTTAAGACAAGTTTTGTTATCTAATCATAAGATTATTAATATAAATTCAGAATATTTTTTTTTTATTATTGGTGTTCATTCAATATTAATTAAATAATACTTAATATTTCAGAATATTGAGTAAATAATTTTGAATATGGTTTATATATGTTTTTCAACATGGTATATATATTATTTCTGCATATTGGCCTCACATTCGGAATATGAGCGTAATATCGAAAAATGTTAAGCAAATCGTATAAGCTAAATATCCTATTCCCATATTTGCCCTACATTCCGAATCTGAGCGGAATATGGCCGAATGTTAACAAAATCATATGGGCTAAATATTGGGAAACAATATTTAGCTTACGTAAAAAACATGTTCAGCTCAGATTCGTTTCTACTCAGGTTCACTATAATAGATGTTTTGAAATATGTCGTCGGTTACATTCCTTTTATTGGTTTTCATTGTTCTTTCCGAGATATTCTGAACATATTCCTCCTAAAAGATATTTCGATTGTCTACGCATTATATGTATCATAGTATTGATGACAATAGATTCAATTAAACGTTGTCCAATATATCAGCATTAAACTGAAATAATTTTTAACTTCCCGTAAGGTTTCTGTACATTTTGGCATACCTTGTAAAAAATGGATGTTGTGTATGTGTGTATGTGCGGATACAAATTTTTGTTGATTGCTGTTGACAAAGAGACGTGCTGATTAGTTTTTGGCATAGGCAGGTCTAGCCGTTTTGAATTTAAGGGGCAAAAAGTGCCACAAACGGTAACTCCGTTTTTAAGAGAACGGAGTGCCCGATTTTAATAATTCAAAAAACATTTTACTTGTATTGACAAGATGAACAACTAATTTAATTTTCATGAAGGCGGTTTCGTAGATCTAGTGAAAAAAGTAAAAAAAAAATACCATTTGGTGGTTAAAAATGATCATTAAGCATATGCACATAAAATTATCAGATATTTTATAGAGATTTTAACAATAAGTATAAATTTTGTTTATATTCCTATGAGTTCCTTATCAATGTTTATCCGTTAGACGGTGACACGGCGCTTACGCGCTTTGATATTTCGTATCTTTGCAGTTAAAGCAGTACGATTGCTTTGAAAAAAGTTCAGAACATCCAAAATATTTTAAAATAAAGTAAACCCTTTTTTTCAAAAAGTCTTTTTTCCAAAAGAATAAATTTGTAACAAAAATTTATAGTTTCTCAAAAATCTAATTTTTTCAAAAATGTTATTCTTTTTAAAAAAAAATAATTTTTGGTACGGGAAGTTCCAGCAATTTGCCTTAAGGCCGGATGCCATCGCCCCACTAGTTTAATAACATTGTCTAAAATTCTATCTAGATCAATATTTTCAAGTTATTTTTAAACCGTAATTTGCATAATATATTTACATAATTCTATTTAATTTCTTTTTTATAAATCTTAAAAAGGTTTTAAGCAATAGTACGTCAACATAAACGTTTCTAGTGAGTAATTAGCATAAGTTTTTTGCGTAATTATTGAAAAATGCTACTTGTATTTGAATTACTTACGTTATTTTTTCTATAGACATTGACTTAAAAATATTATTTACATATCAACAAGTTTTTTTACAGTAGGGAGACTGGGTACGGTTGTGCCAGTGTATGGTAGTGATATTTGTCACAACAGGTAACACTTATATTGAGATAGGGTTCAAAAGAGAAAGATGAAGTATGTTTGTTCGAACAAGTTACCATTATTACGTATTGAGTGTACACGATTCTACTTTACACGATCTGTAGACCGCATTGCTTTGAGTAAAATTAAGTTTTTTTTTATTCAATTTCTTTTAATAATAACTATTTCTTATGATTTGTTTTTGCGTAAATAATTTAGCTCAATCATAATGATGATGTTTCCAAAAGTGTGCGTTGGGTACGGTTGTGACAAATTTTGTAGGTACGGTTGTGACATGTTTTTCTCTCTTTTGGTTGAAAAGATGAACATGTAAAGACAAATCTAACTAAACTAAGACAAAATACGAAAAAGAAAAGTAAGAGAAAAAGCAATACAAGAAAAAAAAAGATCTTGTCTGGTTTCTGGATACTCATACTTTGTAAGTGAGGGTGGTGCGAAATGGATTATGTGCCAAGAAACAAGGATCTCTGGTTCCACGTAAAATGCGCGCAGATGACAACATTTGTCACCATTGTAATGATGGTTTTGACAAGATCTCCGCATATTGATAATTGAACTGATAATTATTAGTTAACATTTTTGACTTAAGAGAAATTTATAATAACGCCACTCGTAATGATGACTTATTAATCATAAGAAGAAAAGTGATTGCATAGTTCAGTTTATTTCGTGTTAAGTTTGTTTAAAAAAAACATGTTATATATCACATTATATTCATAAGCTTTGTGATTGGTTACAATTTAAAAAAAAAATTTAATTGATTATGTTGCGTTGTTTTACATATTACTGACAAAAAGTCGTTATCAACCATTTTTTTGATTATAACAATTGTTTTTTAACTTATATTTTTGTCACTACTCACTACTGTCCTAGAGGTGTGGAAAGTTGTCACTCGCTCTTGTCACGTATGATTTATTTTATGACTAATCCATTGTATTTAAGGACAATATTTTTGTATTTCCACGTAGACGAATATTCAAATTACTATTAAATTACCAACTGACTGGTAAATTCACAAATTAATTGCTGATCAAACTAGCTGTAAGTGGAATTCTGTCTTAAGGCAATTAGGGCAGCGTGCCTTAAGGCAAATTGCTGGAACTTCCCGTACAAAAAATTATTATTTTTTTAAAAACGATTAACATTTTTGAATAAAATTTACTTCGAAAAAATTAGATTTTTGAGAAACTATAAAGTTGACCAAAAATTATTTTTTTGAAAAAAAAAAAATTTATTTGAAAAAAAAAAATTTTTTTTGAAAGAAATTTTTTTTTTTGAAAACAAACAATTTTTTTGAAAAGAAAAATGTTTTCTTCATTTTGACATATTTTGGAAATTCTGAACTTTCTTTCAAAGCAATCGTACTGCTTGAACTGCATAGAGACGAAATGTCACAGCGCAAGTGCCGCGCCACCGTCTAACGCATAAACATTGGTACGGAACCCATAGAAATGTAAAAAAAAATTATACTTATTGTTAAAATCTCTATAAAATATCAGATAATTTGATGTGCATATGTCTAATGATCATTTTTAACCGCCAAATGGCATTTTTTTTTACTTTTTTTATTAGATCTCCGAAACCGCTAGACCTGCCTTTATGAAAATTTGATCAATTCTTCATCTTGTCAATACAAGTAAAATGTTTTTTGAATTATTTAAATCGGACGCTCCGTTCTCTTAAAAACTGAGTTACCGTTTTTGGCACTTTTTGCCCCGTATCTTTGGAACGGCTAGACCTGCCTTTTCCAAAAACTAATCAGCACGTCTCCTTATCAATACGAATCGAATGTTTTTTGAATTATTCAAATCGGTTGATCCGTGTTCTCGAAATCGTCGACGAAAATTTGTATCCGCACATACATACACACACGTACATATATACACACACACACACACACACACATACATCCATTTTTTCTAAGGTATGCCAAAATATTCAGAAACCTCTGAAACGTAAAGATATATAAAAATTTTCATTTTCGATTTTTTTGCGATTACTATAACTTGCCCTACGGGAAGTTAAAAACCAAAGTGTCACAAGTGTAAATTTTTTTTTTCTCGTGTAAATATGTCGATAAATTCTAGAATAATAATTTTATAACTTTCCGTTTAATCTCCCGGATTCAATGTATAAATAGTATTTATACATTCTAAATACATTAATGTTTCCATAACATTTCTAACAGTTTAATTTTGATATTTTCAGTCCTGCAAAGATGTATATAAAATTCTGTTTATTGGCATTCGTGGCGGCTGAACTAATGTTAATGTTAGTTGAGGCCAATGTTATTCCTGGTGAAGAAGAAAAGAGCGATGGATTCGAGCTGCTCATTCTGCATAACAACGACATGCACGCTCGGTTCGAGCAAACGGCGGCACGCAGCGGCCCCTGCGTAGACGGAGAACGATGTTATGGGGGCTTCGCCCGGGTTGCACATTTGTAAGTTGTTAACTTCACGTAGGGCAAGTTTTAGTAATCGCAAAAAATCGAAAATGAAATCTTTTATCGATCTTTACGTTTCAAAACCTTCTAAACATTTTGGCATACCTTAGAAAAAATGGATGTATGTGTGTGTGTGCATGTATGTATGTATGTGCGGATACAAATTTTCGTCGACGATTTCGGGAACACGGTTCAACCGATTTGAATAATTCAAAAAACATTCGATTCAAATTAATAAGGAGACGTGCTGATTAGTTTTTGGCGAAGGCAGGTCTAGCCGTTCCAAAGATACGGGGCAAAAAGTGCCGAAAACGGTAACTCAGTTTTTAAGAGAACGGAGCGTCCGATTTTAATAATTCAAAGAACATTTTATTTGTATTTACTTAATGAAGAACTGTTCAAATTTTTGGAAAGACAGGTCCGATGACTTTGGAGATATGGAGGAAAACGTAAAAAAATGAGCCATTTGGCGGTCCAAAATGAACATTAGACATATGCACATCAAATTATCAGATATTTTATAGAGATTTTAACAATAAGTATAAATTTTGTCTACATTCCTATGGGTTCCGTACCAATGTTTACGCGTTAGACGGCGACGCGGCGCTTACGCGCTTTGATATTTCGTCTTTATGCAGTTAAAGCAGTACGATTGCTTTGAAAAAAATTCAGAATTTTCAAAATATTTCAAAATAAATGATTTAAGATAGAATTATTTAATATGGTTTGAAATTCTATTAAAAGTTTCAAATCATTGATCAACTTTTATTGATTATTATTATTGATTATTTTTAATTACTCGAATTTTGAATTGCGGTACGGGAAGTTCCAGCAATTTGCCTTAAGGCACGATGCCTTAAGACAGAATTCCACTTACAGCTGTTTATTTACGTTTTCAAGGGTTGCTATATATATATATATATATATATATATATATATATATATATATATATATATATATATATATATATATTGTTTAATATGAACAAAACAGCACTCAGATTTGTTTAACACAACTTTATTTTATGATTACAGACGTTTCGAGACCATGGTGTGTCTCATCTTCAGTGTAATTTCAAAAACAGTTACTTATATACTACACATTCTTTAATAATTTATTTAAATTTCATTTAATTTTTGGTATACAAAAAACACCAACTATTCCTTGCAATGCTTGACACCGTACTAAAGAAACATATAACACTTACAGAAATATTCTAAACAAATTTGAAGTACTTATATAGATGGAGACAGAGAGGGTATCATTATAATGTAAACAGAAGGAGTGCTATCGCATACAAAATCGATAAAAATGAAAAAACAAATTAATTTATTGAAAAGAATAAGATAAATGAAAAAATTTATAAATTATTAATGATGTTTATATAAGTGTCATGTAAAATATTTGTGTCGGTTCTTAGATTTATGCTATTGTTAGTCCGAACTATTAACATTGATTCTGCCATGCTCCGTTTAAATAAGTCTTTCTCATGGAATAAAATTTGGGGATTGTCAAAATCAAACTTATGGTTGTTGATATTAGCATGATCCACAAGTGTACTTTTAAATTTTTTGTTATCTATTTTTTCACATTGTAATTCATGTTGCCTGAGTCTCTTTTCTAAGTTCTGGCAGGTCTGGCCAATATAAGAGCAATTGCAATCCAAAGAATTTACTTTATAAACTATATCTTTCTTTTTTGTTAATGGAGTTTCATCTTTAATTTTGGAATATAAAAATTTTAATTGTTTTAATGGAGAAAAAGTAATACGAATATTGTGTTTTTTGAAAAGTCTTTTTGATAATTGGTTAAAATTATTGTCAAGATATGGAAAATTAATGAAAAAAGTTTTTTCAGGAACACTTGTTTTGCCAGGCTCTTCCGGTTTCTTATCAAAAGGTTCAAGTAATTTTGCGACTCTATTTTTAATAATTGGACAAATTAACTTATATGGAAAATTATTGCCAAGTAGGATCGTTTTAACTAATTTTATGTTTGTATCATAAAACAGGGGATCAGATAATAAAATAGCGTGATCTACAAGATTTAGAATGGTAGAAATTTTTATATTGAGAGGAACATGCGAATTAAAATTAATGTATCTCCCGGACCAACTATCTTTTCTGTACCAGTCTGTATAACATACACCGCCTCTATTAATGAGTTTTACGTCAAGAAAATGTAACGTCGAATCATTTTCAAGTTCCTGAGTGAATTGTAAAAAAGAATTGTACTCATTGAATTTGTTGAAAACATTATCTATATCTTTTTTATTAAGTAATATTAATGTGTCATCGACATATCTGAAATAGACCATAGGTTTGGAAGGTAAAGAATTTAAGACATGATTTTCCAAATCTTGTAATACTAAATCCGCCAAAACAGGACTTAATGGGCTGCCCATTGGACAACCTCTCTTCATCGTATAATATTTTTTATTAAAAGTGAAATATGATGCTTTTAAAAGTAATTCTATTCCTGAAATAAAAATTTCCATCGGTAAACAAGTGAATTCAACTATTTGTATCCATCTTTTCTTTATGGCTGTAATAATTAGATCATGCGGAAGATTATTAAATAAATTAATGACGTCAAGACTCATAAAGGAACAATCAGGAGGAATTACTTTGTTTTATATGTTCTATTAACTGGAAAGAGTTATTTAAACGGTATGGAGAATCTATGGTGACATTCTTTAAAATATCTGAAAAATATTTTGCTAAAAAATAGTATGGCGAATCAATGTAGGAAACAATTGGTCTAAATGGGCAATTAGGTTTATGGATCTTTGGAAGGCAATAGAATTTTGGGGTTAAAGGATGTTGTACTTTTAACTTTAATGATATGGTATTATTAATATGTCCCTTTTTCTCTAATAAATTTATAAATTTAAAAACCTGTCTATGGTGATAGTTGTTCGGATCCGATGCCAATTCTTCATATAGAGATTCATCACTGAGAATTTTCTTTGCTTCTTTATCATATTCCTCTTTTAACAAAACCACTGAAATGTTTCCTTTATCTGCCTTACACACTAATAATTGTTTGTTATCTTGAAGAAATTTATTTTTATCGATTTTGTATGCGATAGCACTCCTTCTGTTTACATTATAATGATACCCTCTCTGTCTCCATCTATATAAGTACTTCAAATTTGTTTAGAATATTTCTGTAAGTGTTATATGTTTCTTTAGTACGGTGTCAAGCATTGCAAGGAATAGTTGGTGTTTTTTGTATACCAAAAATTAAATGAAATTTAAATAAATTATTAAAGAATGTGTAGTATATAAGTAACTGTTTTTGAAATTACACTGAAGATGAGACACACCATGGTCTCGAAACGTCTGTAATCATAAAATAAAGTTGTGTTAAACAAATCTGAGTGCTGTTTTGTTCATATTAAACAATTAATATTCGTTCCACTCATATCATAAAATTCTATATATATATATATATATATATATATATATATATATATATATATATATATATACAGGAATACCCAGTTTAACGCGAGGGATGCGTTCCATCAAAGTAGAGCGCAGTGCAAACAGCGCCAAGCGAGGCTATCTTTACATGGAAATATTGGAGTTAGGGGAAGACAGCTAGGACATTGGTTCGGCATTGAGTTTAAAAATTATGTTTTTCTTTACTAAAAATAAAACCAAACATTTAGCTCTTAAAGCCCAAATCAATACCACATTTTTATTTCTTAAAAAAATAAAAACAAAATATAAATAACAAAACGAATATTCTTGGGAAAACAAACAACATTCTTAGTCAGCCATATTTAGTTAGTCTTCCGCGTTTTCAGTGTTTTGCCTTTTTGAGACAAAAGCATCTAATAATGTTTCACTTTTTCTTTTGCGTTTTTCTCTTAAAAGTTCTTCATAAACACATAGAGCATCCTTAACACCACGCCTTACTTTTCAGCTCAGAATTCAGATCATTTTCTCTGTCAAAATTCGGATCATTTTCAATGAATTGATTATCGTATTAGATCTGCCCACACATTCTACAAATCTCATCTTTTTAGAATTGGTATGGCAGAAGATCCCTTCTGTTCTTGCAGTTTAGAAATTCACAATCTTGACCACATCTTTTGGAAGTACAAGCTCTATGCTAATCAAAGAGCATCCTTACTACAAGAACTGTATAAATATAATTTCATTTTGCCTATTAACACCACAATATTCTTTTCGACTAATGATGAAAATATATATAAAATTTTTGTGTATTTTCTACAAAAATGTAACATTAAAGTATATAACTAAAAATTAAAGTGTTAGTTAATTAGGTTTTATGAATCAAGTCACAATCTTATGTAGCAAACAATTTGTAAAATATGTATTTCTCTGGTATTTATAAATTTGTAAAATATTATTTATGTAATAAGAGGTTAAATGTAAATGAATACACGGTCAAATGCCATAAATAAAATTTAAAAAAAAATGAATTGTTCAATTTCAGTTATGGTAGACAAACTGCTTTTTACAAACAAAATCGAAAGTCCTTTTTGCTTTTCTGCTGAATCACTGCTGTCAACATTTTTGTTTTTTTCTTGTTCAGTTCATTCCTTGAGCTCCTCACCATTAGAAAGTCTGCGCTGCTTCTTGAATTATTTCTTCAACATCTTCCTCATTTATCTCTTCAAAACCTGGGTTGAAATAAAAGAGCGTTAAACTGAAACAGCGCTAAACGATATGGCGTTAAACGGGGTATTACTGTGTATGTGATATGCCAAGTAGAATCAAGTGACTCGAATCATGCGAATCAAAGCTCTTGACAATCCGAGTCGAATCAGATGTCACTTAATTCGTATCAACCTGAGAAATATTTGCATTGATACAATATGAATGAACATAAATTTTAACAAATATAAATAAAAATATGACAGATATTTATATATATATATGTCTTAAGGCAAGTTGCTCGAACGCCCCGATATGTGTAATAATTGACACAATAAATCAAAATTGAGATTTGCTATTTGTATACAAATTTTAATTTCATTTCGAAAATAAATTTTACGCTTTCACTAAAACGCTTTCTAATTGATATCTCTCAAACACATTTATAATATTTGTAGTTATTTAAATTATAGTGCACAAACACTTGCTGGTATGTCCTAAAAGCGCCCAAATTTTAATTAATTTATATAATTCAACTAGTTTATGTAGGACAATTTAGTGCATGAACTTTATCGCCATATTAAATTTTATGAAAAAGGCTATTTTTTAAGAATCTTTTGAAAATCTTTTTTAAGAATCTCTTTAAGAATTATTTTGTGAAATCTTAAGTATCTGCTATAAAAAATATGATTACTTATATCACGTACGTAGTCCTTGATATTATTTAACCATAACTAGAGAACGCTTGTTAGTTGATACAGATATAAATAATCTGATAAAATAATAATTCTATAAACAATGCACAAATCCAATAATTTGCTATAGCAAGATTTTCGCAAAATTGGTTACGAAAAGCACTTTACTGCTAGCTCTTAAATTTTTGAAATCTGTTTAGCCGTTTTTAAGAAAACGTCTACGTTTTGACACAAATTTTAACTATCAATTTTTTTCCAACTTTGATGAAAATTGTACCACTTGTCGTAGAACCGTCAAATTTTAATGTTTACTATGACCATGATCTCAATCATGATTGGATTAGATTTATTTACATCTTGTCTCTATGTTGGCACATTTGGTTAATATTTGTTATTCAAATTATAAATCCACTGATAACATATTTTTTATTCTGAAACGTGTGAAAAAATAGATTTTTTTAAATATTTTTCATTTTATTTAATGTGTTGTATGGAAAACTCATCATTAGACGATGCTGAAAATTATTTATTTACATTCACACTAATGATTACCCAGCGAAATATTGATTTTCGAACATTGGTAACTTTAACACTTTTCGATTATTATTTTTACTATATTTCATTAATAATATACACTTGCAAAATTTAATAAATCGTATATGTACATGAACATTTGTAAATGCATACCGTTATCAAAGAAACAGTTGGATCCGACATGGTAAAATTCGAGTTAAATTTTTAAACGTTAAATTTTTTAGAGTTTGGATATATAACAAGTCTGTCAAAGTATAAAGTAAACGCAGTATTTTAATTTGGCAACAGTGATTTGACATTTAGCCCACTCAAAAAGCCATCATTACGTCAAGTCGAATAGTTATAAATTTAACAGAAAGGTTATAATTTCAAGCATTTTATATATCTTGAACATTCGCGAGAACAGGATTCAAGTTTAAAAAAAAGTTATTGCTGTTATTATAAGATTCGGTTTTCATTCGGAATACTTGGTTTTTAATCTCGGCACGCAAAATGTGTTCAGTTACTTCGCAGGCTGAATACATATGTTTCTATAAAAAGAATCGTTTAAGAATATTTATATAAGTCTTGATGCCAAACTAAGGATCTATGACATGCCTCTATTTCTGTATTATTCCATGAACGTACGTCTGTAAGTGTTTTTATCGTTAGACACTCTCAATAAATATTAGAAAAAACTTATCTACAAATGGCCTTATCAGGAGATCAAATCCAGAAGAACAACACATTGTTTTATTAGGAATTTGCATTAAAATTTAACTTCACGTTATATTTGTAATAGAAAATTTTTGTTACAATCAACACTTCAACACTTTCTTCTTGGATCCTTGATTGTTTCCATGTTAGGATATGCATCTATGTAAAATTTAAGATAATAAGTTATGCTATAAAATTAAGCTAATTAATTAATCAGTTCAATCAAATTATTACTTACTCGATATTACAAACTCCCGAAGAGAAGAGAAGTTTGTTTTCGCTAGAAGATACAACTTTTTTTTGCCGACGTTCCAAGAATTTTCCAAAATTTGAGACCAAAATTGTGCGTTCCTAAATGTAATATGTATATTTCAGCCAATTTTTAACTTCCCGAAGGAGAAGTTTTGTTTTCTCGACGTTTCAAGCCATTCTGAATCGAATGAGACCAAATTTGGAAAAAGTGTGTGTGTTTTTATTATTATTATTTGACGGTAATTACCATAGTCTTCTAGATCATAATAAAATATTACGGCCCTACAACTCGTTTAGCTTTAAAAATTTGTCAAAATTTGCAAAAATTAGTATCGTTTTTTGGCATTTGTCAAAATTAGACTTTTCATCGACGTTTGCTCAAAAACGACTGAACCAATATCAGAAATTTAAAAACCATTTGATGTATCTCGAAGAAGATTATCGTTTGTCAGTTTTGTGAGACTATCTGCCGAATCGTTTCTTTGTAATTCGGAAAAAAGTGTTAAACTTTTCGTCCACATTTAAGCTCAAACTACGGAATCGATTTTAAAAAATCAAAAACTGTTCAAAAGATATTAGTTGGTAATGATACTGATTAGGTTTAGGTGAAAATCTACCGAGTCGTTTTCTTATAATTAACTGTTGAAAAAAAATTAAGCCGAATTTTATGGAACTTTTTTGACTATATATTATGGTCTTATAGACCTTACTGAAATATTACGGCCTTGCGACAAGTAGTTTAATTTTAAAAATTCATTATAGTTTAAGAAAATGAACAGTTTTTTTGACGTTAGTTAAAATTAAAACTAGACGATTTACTTGGTATAACGATAGAGTACTTGGCTTTAATGAACAAAATTGTTGATATGTGAAAATTTGCTTTTAGAAAATACTCCGAGGTATCATGTTGGTTCGTTTTCAATTCTGTGTAATAAATCCACTCGGAATACTTTTAATTACTCATAAAGGAATTTATTTTTTTATTAAGTCGATTATTTACATATATCGGGAAGTTCTTGTAACTTGTCTCAATGCAAAATATCAATACCAACTAGTTAAAATTTGTCAATGTTTTCTCAAAAATGACTGATTTGATTTCATACATTTTCAAAACCATTCGATAAAACTTAATAAGGATTTGCCTACGATGTACACATGTCTAATAATCATTTTTGACCGCCAAATGACATTATTTTTCACTTTTTTTAATGGATCTCGAGATGCAGGTCCAGCGTCTTCGGATCCGGAGATGTTTTTTAAATTATTCAAATCGGACTCTCCGTTCTCTCAAAAACTGCACTACCATTTTTGCCACTTTTTGTCCCGTATCTTCGAAACGGTTAGACCTGCCTTACCCAAAAACTAATCCTCATCAGTAAGAATCGAATGTTTTTTGAATTATTTAAATCGTCTGATACGTGGTCGACGAAAATTTGTATCCGCAAATATTCAGAAACCTTTGAAACGTAAAGATATATAATAATTTTCATTTTCGATTTTTTTTAGCTCATAGGAATACAATCCTGATTGCTGAATAAAACGGAGTTAAAAAAAAACGATTTTTTTGCTACTACTATAACTTACCCTACGGAGAGTTAAAAAAAAGCTTTTCAAACTTTAAAATTATGGTGCGAGAAGTTTCAGCAGTTTGCTATGCAGTTTGCTAGAGTATTAGAGGCATACGAAAAGTGTTTGAATTATAAAAGATTCATTGAACATACAAGTGCTCTACATTTGCATATAAACCTACTTGAAACGTAGCCATTGGAAATCGTATTGATTAGATTTTAGTGAAAGCAAAATCTCAATTTTTATTGAATATGTCGATTATTTACACGTAACGGAAAATTCATGAAGCTTGCCTCAAGGCAAAATGAAATTTACACTTAATTTATATTGAGTGATATATAGTTTTTACGCAGGAGATATTCTCAAGTGGTAGTATATTTAACATTGAAATTTTTAAACAGAAATTATTTGCAGAGTACGGGAAGCTCGCAAGAATGAATCTAACGGCGGCCCTCCTGTGCTGTACTTGAACGCTGGCGATACATATCAAGGAACTCCTTGGTACACGCTTTACAAGTGGAACATATCTTATATGATGTTAAACGAACTCGCTCCAGATGCCATGGTATATAATATTCTTTATTTTTATTTCAATAGAAATATCTATAACTAGCTGACCCGGCAAACGTTGTTTTGCTAAGTAAGGTATATTCTAAACAATTTCTAAGGAATCAAAAATATTAATACTTTAAGTGTATAAGGATGTGTTGTTTCAATGCTATAAACAATGAGGTATTATAAAAACAATAAATGCCATTAGTTTGTCTATATTTTGTCAACACAATCAAACTGGAAGTTTTATACACTTTCTATAGAAAACACGGTATAATCCAATCAGAGTCTTTTTCGGTCTTTCAACTTATTGATTACGTTTCAAGATTTTTTCAGATTCTTTTTGAATTCCGGATTTTGTGTATAATTGTAAATAATACTACTGAACTTATAAAAAAAAATTAAATTTCAGACGAGAGATAAAAAATGAATTAAGTATTTCTTCTTCGTCCTGCTTTTTGAAAAGTTTCAAGTTACATTCGATGTAATAAATTTAATAAATGTAAATTTGAAAATCACTGTTCACAGCCATTCTGAATTTAAATAACATAAATAAAAAATAATATAACCTAAAAAATGTTTTATAAATACCAATGAGTAAATAATGATACAAATGAGATCTTTCAGAGCTTCGTGTTTGAGAAAAATATGCCAAAAAGTGCATTTTCATATTAACATTTCAAAAAATTTGATATTTTGAGTTCCTAGTAACACTTGCGGCCCGGTTACTAACGTTTTTGCATGTAATATGTAAATAAAACTACAAACAAAACTACTTGCTACAATTTAATCATAATTAAATAATATATACGTAAAACATTCTATTAAACATAATCGAACATAATATGTCAAAAACGTTTGACATTTCAAGTATTAGCTACCGTCCTTTGTTTTATTTACATTACGCTTCAACAAAAATTTTCAATGTAAAAATGTAAAGTTTCTACGCGATCTTGAAATATTATCTCACCTTTCTGACCATCTCTGGATTGGAACGAATTTTTCAAGACTAAAACTGGTCAAATCGGTTTAGCCGTTTTCGAGTTTTACTTGGACATTTGAAAGAGAGCTCCATTTTTATATATAAGAAGATATGTATGTTTATATATAAAGTTCTCTTGTCATGTTGCTTGTAGTTAGGGAATGCAATACCAGTATTTCGATATTTTAGGCTTTTAAAACCAGTAGGCCGGTAAAATACCGGTATTAATATTGTCTTAAAAAATACGAATAAAATTAAAAGTTACTTGTACAAAAATAAAAAATTATATATTTTGTAGAGCTTTGAACAAAGAATCCAAAAACTAATAAAAAACAAAAGTTTTTTAATAAACCATTTCTTTATTTATTACTGTCGAGGTTTCGGAACTAGGTACGTTCCATCTTCAGGACATCTGTCAAGATAAAATTGTGGAAAAAATTGTCATATTTCTGTATATGACAATATAATCAAAATGAAAATGATAAAACATGCACAATAATAAAAAATGATTATATAACACTATTATAAAAATGAATATTAAAAATGTTAAAAAATTTAGAAAGTTTTAAGAAAAGGTTACTGAAAAAAACAGAATTAATTACCTGTATGATTGATTTTTCACTAACACTTATTCACTAAAAAAAGTTTTTAGCAAAAAAAGTGATTGTATAAATTTCTTTTCAGTTGAAGAAACAAATTTTGTAATTCAAAATTTCTTTAAGGGGGTCGTTCTTTTTTTGTTACAAAAAATGCAAGGTATTTGTTTTTGTTTTGCTCGAAATGTATTTATCATAGAGACATGCGGTTTTTTTTAAACAAAAATTACAGAATCATAGAATATTAAGAAATTTTTTATTGTTATTTTTTCGCCGTCATTTTTTAACCAGGGGGCGTCAAAGTGGTCATTGCAAAATCGATCTCTTTTGCGGTGCCACGATAAACCCGTTGCGCATCGCCCGAAACAAAAAAAAGAAACTACGTTGAAGAAGAAGTTTGAATCCAGTCCCCCTACCAAAATGAAAGAAAAAATGCAAATAGGAAAAAATGGCAGCTATTTCAGAAAAAAAGTCTCAAAAAGGGCCTTTTTTGGGACGAAAAGCTTCGCAAATTTTTTTGCGCAATGTTATGAAGTTGTTTGAGGTAGGGGAACTAGGTATTGCAGTGATGAACAAATTAAAAAAAAATGCAAGTCCATCCAGTTTTTTTTTAATTTGTGGCCCCGCATTGAAAAAAGTCGATTTGAGAAAAACGTATTTAAAGTTTGTAATATAATGTACTAAATACACCATTTAATTTAATGTACTAAATACACCATGGTGTTCAAAGATGCTGACACATTAAAAAGGTCACGTGCATGAGGTATTATAATGAAAAAGAGAGCAGCTGGCATACAATAGCTCGCAGAGCGATGAAAGAAACGGTTTCAGAGAATCATACATATTGAGATATATATCTATAACTTCGTCAAAAAAATAGATATTGAGATGATTTTTTTTAAAATAATTCTAAGGTTTTAAGCTTTCATAATATCAAAAAATCTCAAAATGAAAAAAATGAATAAATAAAAACCGAACAACCCCCTTAAATTATGTCTTTTTTGAGTTTGTTATGTTACATAAGTTTTAAGTTTATCATTAAAATATTGTTAATATTATTTATAGCAGCTCTTGAGTTGTTTTTTCAACATGTCACTATAGTATACAATGTCCCTATTACGGCTGACAATTGTAAATTTCACAAATTTACTAAATGTCCTTAACTGGACAGTTGCAAATATAGTTGTGAATAAAAAAACCTTTGATCTGACCCTTATAGACTTATAGTCTTTTTTTCGTCCGCTTTTGGTCATCAACTTTCAAAATTTGCGAGAAAGTGTGCGATTTTTCTCTGACAAATATATTTTTACAGCGGGGGCGAAAATTGTCAATGTCCTCTCTTTGAATTAATTTGAGCAACATGTTTTTTTTAAATAAATTAAATAAAATGGCAACAGTTGAGTAAGTTGTGTGAAGCAAACTTAGTTTTGTGTAACGTTCGCGACCGGACAAAAAAGTTCGTTATGCGCAACAGCGCCGCGTCCTTTGTGCGAGGCGTACGTTGTGCGGGGTACCATTGTATAGCCTAAAATTTTCACTTTCCTACCACAAATCCCTCTTTCATAAGTCATTTCAGGAGTTTCATCATATTTCATCTAACTCGATAACTGATCAATTATCGTCTATTACTATTTGATGTGAACGTCTTTCATTTAATTTTGATCAAGATCATTCTGAGCTTTTGTAAAGCTTAGATTTATCCGCTCTGTCCGCTGAAACATTTTCAAAACAATTCTTAGATATTGGCGACGAATAGGATACAATCGATAAAATAGATGCGTCAAATTATCGATCGAGTTTTGCTTATACTCGTTGTACATACATTCAGTACATAGTTCATGAATGATTTGCAGAAAGAGCAAAACTATCAAAATATAAAAATTAATACATTTTTGAGAAAAAATAAGATACCAACCAAATTTCTGGCAAAGCTGTAAATTTTTCCAGAGTTTTTGAAATTCTACTCGATTCGATCCACACAGCGTAATACAAAAATCGATGCTTGGATTAAAAAATTAATGAATAATGAATTAATGAAATGCGCGGTAATAATATATCAAAACATTGAATCTTAAAATGTGCAAATTCAATTTGAATGAAATTTAAGTTTCATATTAGGCTAAGCACTTGCAATTTGCAATGGCTATCAATATGTGCTAAGAACTTTGCAGTGAGAAAACCAAACAGCTTTCACTTCTAAAATATACCACATATATTTCCATTAATAATTATTTTTCTAGAGATATTTTTTATTCACAGTACATACTTTTCTCAGTAAACATGAATTCTTCAACAAATTCATACCTAATTCTTACGAAAGGAAGACATATGCATCAAATAAAACGTATATAAGCATAGTACTATTACAATATATACTGGTTAAAATCAAACCATTAATTAATTAATTGAATTGTTATTGAATTTCTATCGGATTGGTTTCATTAACAATCTTAACTTTTTATTGTTAGATAAAAACAATAGTTTTTTTTACCAAATAGTTACCTCGATATAATTCGAAACAAGTTTTTTCACTTTGTGTTGAATCAGAATTATCAAACCATATAAACCTACATATATCTGGTTTATATAACTTGTATGGCTTGTTTATCTATAAACATAAACTTGCATCGTTTCAGTCGTTGGGAAATCACGAGTTCGACGACGGTGTCCCAGGTTTGCTACCATTTCTGGAAAATGTGAAATTTCCAGTGTTAGCTTCTAACCTGGATCTCACTGAAGAACCAGAACTAGCTAAACAAAAATCACTGGTAAACTCAGTTATTATTAAAAAGAATGACGTTGATATTGGAGTGATTGGTTATCTGACGCCGGACACGAAAGTTTTATCTGCATCTACTCGTGTTGGATATTTCGAAGAAGTACCGTCAGTGGCCAAAGAAGCTAAACGTTTGAAAGAACAAGGTGTTAATGTACTAATTGCACTTGGACATTCCGGATTTGAGATGGACTGCAAGTGAGCTTTATATTGAGTTTTTTGACATATTATAATTAATAACTAAATAACTAAATTACGAATGACGTAATAATTTTTAAATTAAAATATTAGAGTAATTTTCAGCGTTTACGCTAGAAAAAAATTAGAACGTAATGTCTAGCATATGTCTGAGAATGAACTTTGGTACTGTATATCTTTGCAACAGTAAAATTGAATATATATATATATATATATATATATATATATATATATATATATATATTTATAATATGCATTTTTTCTATTTTCTGGTTTTGTTTTCCATGTTTTTGTTTTCAACACGTTATAGTCACACTCAATCCTTGTAAAATAACAAAGAGAATGTCTGCATGGGTTTATATATTCTGTAGAAAGAGCCAACTAACACGCTGAGCCCGGCGTTAAATTTTCTGTCTTTTCATTCGGCCGGCAGTGACGAACGGGCCGTAACGTTTACAATACAACACATTTTTGCTTACTTTTTGCTATCGATCACACAAAACATTCAAAGAAAAATTCTAGTGCCGGATCGACCATACGGAAAGTTGACGGTTGCGGGCTCAACGTTTCCACTCGTGAATTGTGGAATTTGCATGTAATTTGCCGGCGGCGGCATCCGAGTCGAAAGGGTTAAAGTTAAATTTTGAATTAGATCAGTTGTGCGCAATGACTAATATAAATATTATCCACAGAATAGCCGAAGAAGTACCTGATATTGATTTGGTGATCGGGGGCCATACAAATACATTCCTTTGGAACGGCACACCGCCGCCAAAAAGTGAGCCTGTCGAAGGGCCGTATCCCACTGTCATAACTCAGAAAGGAAGTTCGAAGAAAGTACCGGTCGTCCAAGCGTACGCTTATACAAAATATTTGGGAAGCTTGATGCTGCGGATCGATTCAGACGGTAACGTGGTTTCTTTTGAAGGTCAACCGATTTTATTGGATGATTCGATTCCGCAAGATGAAGATGTACTAGATCTTATCAATGTATACAAACCTGGAGTAGAAAAATTAAAATATACAGTCATTGCAAACACTGCGGTGAGTAAATGGATAAAATGCAACCTAAAAAATTTCAAATATATTGTCCTAATAAAAGAAACTTATTCTAAAGTGACCGTACGTCCTGGTTTGACTGTGACATTCCCGGATTTCCATCTTGTGTTCCGGGTTTTTCTAAAAGCAATATTATCTTAGATCTTTTGTTCCGGATTGTCCAGGTCGATCTTCGAAAATTATAGGTTTTTATTAAATCTTTGCAATTGCTTAATAATCAAATTACAACAACCCATGAAATATCTGAAAATGATATATATTATGTTACAATTGTAACAAAATGTATATCAATTACAGATCGTCTTAAGACGAGTATGCTAATCAATACGTTAAAAATGAAAACGAATCAATACATTATAAATGAAAAAAATGTTTATTACAAAATTCCGAGGGCGGTTTCAAATAGTCTCTCCTTACATTATTAATTTCCATTTCAATTTCCCGAAATTGAACAAAATTTTATAAAATGCTCAAAAGTGAAGAGTACCATACATTAAGATCCAAAATTATAAGACTCTATATAACATATAATGGAATAAAGTTGTTAATAATTTTCAGTAATTCTTAAAAAATAAACTGATTTTTATTGTATTTTTAAATATTTGTTATTTTAAAATCATATTGATGTTATTTAGCATGAGGCTTTTTTGTTGCTAATTTTCGTAAATATGACGATGGAAGTTCGAAATTATCACATTGAGAGGCTTATTTATCTATGGCTAGAGGCTATTTTCAACCACCATGGATTCAGCAATTTGCTCTTTTGTAACATAGTTTTATACAGCATAATCGTTACATATATCATTTTTAGGATGGGCGGTTATAATTTTATTAAGTAATATCGAAAACTCAATTTCAATCTAGGATCACATTAAAAGAAACAAGTTTCTGCGCTAAAAAGCCGCCGAATAGTTGCCAAATATTTGGTATTATAGAATGTACTATTTGTTACAGACTTAAAATAACTTTACGTAGAAGCAACTCTATTTTTTAACGAAAAAAAAAGTTTTCCTATTTCAACAATGTATGTGATGCTTTGGACGCGGAATCATAATGATCCTGAATTGTTATATTCTTAAATATTTCTTTCATAACGTATCGCATCGCGTTTGTTGATTCAATATCAGTTTTCTATAATACAAGCAACTATTATTTGGGTTCAGGTTCTTCTGGATGGTAATTGTCGTAAGAGGGAATGCAATTTGGGAAATGTGATCGCTGACTCGATGGTCCATGCCTACACCGTCAACTACAAAGGTTCTGGCTGGTCGGATGCTTCGATCGCGCTTATCAGTGGCGGCGGCATACGCAGTACGATCGATGCAAAAACTAGCGGAGGAAACGTGACCATGGAAGAACTTATGACCGTTTTGCCTTTTGGTAACGATCTCATTGTTGCCCAGTATAAAGGATCTACTATAAAGAAAGCTTTTGAGCACTCAGTTCACAGGTGACTATAGATACTTCTTCATATCGGTTTTATAAGCCTACTTTATTAAAAATCATATATAACAATCTAATTTGTTAATCAAAAATTTCGATTTTTTTTTTGAATTTTTTTTTCAAGGCAATAGCGTTGCGTACCCGTTTTACAAACGAAATACCAAAGCGCGTAAGCGCCGCGTTCCAGTGTGACGGTTGATCATGATAGATCTTGGTACGAAACCCATAGAAATATAAACAAAAGTACTTAATATTAATTTTTTAATAAAATATCTTGATTTTTTGTGCATGTGTCCAATGATTATTTTTGACCGTCAAATGGCATATTTTTCACTTTTTTCATTGGATCTCTGAAACCGCTGAATCTGCCTTCCCAAAAATTTAATTAGTTTGTCATTTTGTCAATACGAGTAAAATGTATTTTTAACTCATTCAAATTGGACGCGCTCCGTTGTCTCATTATCTAAGTGCCGTTTTTGGCACTGTTTGCCTGGTATTTTCGAAACGGCTGGACCTTCCTACCTATCAATAAAAAACGAATGTTTTCAACCCATTCAAATGGGTTGATCCGCGTTCTCGAAATCGTCAACGAAAAATTGTACATACATCTATTTTTTCTAAGGTATAACAAAATATTCCGAAGGCTTTGAAACGTAAATAAATTTTCTTTTTCAATTTTTTTTGCGATCACTATAACTTACCGTACGGGAAGTTAATTATTATTTAATCTTATGCGATTATTTAATTAATTTGTTGCCATCTTCGTATGAGTACTACGTATTCAATTATAGATTAACGTACTGAGAATGCCCGCAAATTTGGTCTATGTTCTACCTTCCGTTCTATTTATGTTAACTATATTTTGCAATGTCTGTAGTATCAAAATACCTGTAAGATTTACGCTACAATTTAAAATATTAATTATGAGTGCATGAGCATGCACGTTTTTTGTGAAAAATGGTTCTAAACGCACAGACCGTTGTGTCCATAATTGAAATGATCAATGAATGTTGTTGGTATCGATTTAAACTATTCAACCACAACTCGTCATCGTACATTAAAATTATGCCTAATTTGTTAACCCCATTCCAACACCGACAGCAGTACGGTGCACATCGTGTTCTATTGTAGATAAAAACATTTTTTTCAGTGCAGTTCAGTTTACACTTTTTACCTGTCAGTGTTCAAATAAGACTCTTATCAGTGAGTGTAGTTCGGGGTTACGCAACATGGTCCCCATCGGAGGGGACAAAGAACCGGTCATACCTATTGTTCAATCGTTTAATGTTTTGAATGATATGGATATTTCTGCAGATCCTAGTGAAGAAATACCTCTAGCAAGCGGATCAGGTTTGATTTCAGAACCTATGCAAAATAAGGCAATAATTACTCACCAATTAGGTGAAAATTACTCTTCAAGACAAAGTGAATTCAGAAAACAGATTTCAAATGAAAATCCATAAAAGTATAGCTATTTCATCACGTCCAACTCAAGGGAATTCTTCAAATTCTACTGATAATACCAAAGATCTCAATAAATTTGACGTTAACCGATTTACTCATTCATCGGAAGAGAACTCGCTAGCATCGCAAAATCTTAATAATATGGAATACGATACACATTCTTCGGAACAACCAGCTACTGATTTTAATCCTAACCCTTGGCAAGTATTCACGCCTGAAAAACGAAAAACTTTTTATGTTTCTTTACAAATTAATATATCTACTAATAACAGATTTTCTGCATTATCTTCAATAAACGTAGAATATAAAACCCCTGCTGTATCAACCGTTAATAAACCTCCACCAATATTTGTTTATGGAGTTAAAGATCCCGCTGACATGTTAAACACATATGCCAAAATTGTTCCGCCAAATCAATACTATCTGCGAAGCCTCGCGGACAATACATTTAAAATCATATGTCAAACGGTTGATAATTTTCGTGAACTCTCAAAGTATTTAAAACAAACTAATGCAGTTTATCATACTTATCAACTAAAAGAAGAAAAGGCATACGGGGTAGTACTCGGGAATGTTCATTTTTCTACAGATACTGATCTGATAGAATCAAAACTACTAAAACAGGGTCATGTTGTGAGAAATATTCTCAACATACGGCATAGATTAACCAAAGAGCCCCTGAACAAGTTTTTTGTGGACCTGGAGACCAGTAAAAATAATAAAAATATCTACAACGTTTATAAAATATTAAATCATATAATCAGGGTAGGACTACCGCGTATATCCAGCAACATAGTGCAATGCACACGTTGCCAACAGTATAATTATACTAAGGCCTACTGTAACAGATCTTTCATATGTTTAAAATGTGGTGAAAATCATAGAACAAAAGATTGTACTAAAGACTCTAATACTCCAACCTGTTATCGCTGTGACGGTGCGCATACTGCTAATTACAGAGGATGTAGCTTCTACAAAGAAAATATCGAGCCAAGAAGTAGAAATCTTTATAAAGAATCAAATAATGTCCCATATCCCACACCTTCAATCCCAACTAAAATCAATTCACAAAAATTTACCACAACTTCTAATCCCACTAACCCCTATGCAAACGCCACAAGAAATCAGCAACGTGCTTCCTCAAATCCAACCATGGACTCCGATTCTACCACTTTATCGTCTTTTCTCTCAGAATTCAAGACTCTTTTCAGTCAACTTATGCAACAAAATAGCCTCGTTATCAACATGTTAAGTTAACCACTCTAATAACTTGAATCATGGCAAGCTTAATTAAAATCGCTGAAGGGAACGTAAATGGTTTAATACCTCACAAATATGAAGTGAAATGTTTCCTGAAACTAAATCATACCGATATTCTTCTCATTTCGGAAACCCACTTTACTGAAAAAATATATTTTAAAATTCAAAATTATCACTTATAATTCAAACCCAATTTGGCAGCGCCCGAGGTGGATCAGCATCATTAATCAAAAGTAGCTTAAAACATTTGCACTTCCGAATGTTCAAGAAGAATCCATGCAAGCAACACAAATCCTATTAGAAACAAGACTATATGAAATAACCATTTTTGCGATATATTGCCCTCCAAAGTTCAAAATTTCAGCTAATGTCTCTTCGTTTTTTTTGAACAACTGGAATCCAAATTTATATTAGGAGGTGACTATAATTGTAAACACAAAGCTTGGGGCTCCAAGCTGACAACTTCGAAAGGAAAAGAGCTTCACATGGCAATAGCAAATAATATTCTTCTCCCTATTTCAACTGGCAGTCCTCTCTATTGGCCCTCGGATTGAGACAAAGTATCAGATCTTCTGGATTTTTTCATAATCAAAGGTGTCCCCACAAATAATTTTGACATAGAGAACAGCTATGATCTTTCGTCAGATCATTCTGCAATTGTGTTAACATTTAGCACAATTCCTGTAGCTGAACAACCTTCATGTATTCTCCACAACAAATTTTCAAATTGCGATCAATTCAGGGCTTTATTGGATTCAAAACATTATCCACATTTCAGACCGAAAAGTTCAGCCGATATTGACTATAAGATAAACAAATTTACAACAGTTTTAAAAGAATCCTCAAAGTTAGTTACTCCAACCTCTCACACAAAAAACAACACACTTGTTATTCTTTCCGAGATTAAAAAATTAATTTTGCTGAAGAGAATAGCAAGAAGGATATGGCAGCAATCACACTTGCCACAAGATAAAACTAAGTTAAACCAACTCACTAGGACATTACAGAACAAAGTAAAGGTATGGAAAAACAACGATTTCAAGTCATATACTGCAACTTAACAAGTTTGATAACTCCAGTTGGAGGCCAATCAAAATCAAAGTCAACACTAACGAACCAAGATAAAGATTCGAACTCTGAATGGATTACATGGACAAAAAGGAATACGCAGAAAGCTGAAGGTTTTGCAGACCACGTGCAAAATATTTTTACCGATACAAACAGTATCGGTAATACAGTTCCAGTCTGCAATAATTTGTGACAATTAAATATCGACTCACTTCGAATAAAACATTTCTCTCCAAATGATGTTGCTTGTGCAATCAAAAAATTAAAAAACAAGTCTTCCCCAGGCATCGATAATATCACTCCAAAAATGCTAAAAGAACTGCCAAAAAACTCTGTAATATTTTTAACTAACATATACAATGCAATTCTTGAATTCAACTATTGGCCTACAGCTTGGAAAACTGGAGAAATAATAATGATTCCTAAGAAAAATAAAGATCCGCAATAATGCAAGTTCGTACCGACCAATTAGTCTTTTACCAGTTTTATACAAAAGATTCTTGAAAAACTCAGACTAGGCGAAAATCATCCAGGCGAAAAATGGATCCCAAACCACCAATTCGGATTCAGAAAGGACCACTCAACAATCCAACAATGTAATAGAACCGTTACCTATATTCTGGATTCTTTAAATCACAAAAGCATACAGCAGCTGTATTTCTTGACGTAAGTCAAGTTTTCGACAAAGTATCACACACGGGACTCCTTTTTAAAATACGAGCTACTTTTCCCAAATACTTCAACATTCTATACTCCTTTTTGTGTAATAGAAAATTTCGTATAAGAGTTAAAGGTGATTATTCAAGCACTCGTCACATAGAGTGTGGAGTTCAACAGGGCAGCGTCCTAAGTCCACTGTATATCCTTCACACAAGTGATTTACCTACTGATGAAGATTTCATGATTTGCGCATACGCCGATGACGTAGCAATAACCTCGAACAACATGGACATTGCAATTGCCACTGCTAAAATCCAAAAATATCTTTTGTCACTAGAATCCTGTCTCCACAAATGGAATATCACAATCAACACCGACAAATCTCAACATATTATTTTTTCTTTGAGAAAGCACAATAGTCCTCCTGTCCTCCTCAATAATTCAATCATACCGAATTGCAGCAGTGTAAAATATTTAGGTATGCACCTTGACACCAAATTAAACTGGAGAGAGCATATACTTAACAAGAAAAAACAAATTCAATTAAAAATAAAAGATCGGCATTGGCTGTTAGGCAGAAAAAGTAATTTATCACTTGAGAACAAAGTCCTCATCTACAAAACGGCTATCATCCCCATCTGGACATACGGCATAGAACTTTGGGGATGTGCCAGTATATCCAATATCAACATTATCCAGAGATGTCAAAACAAAATTTTACGTTTACTGAGAAATGCACCGATTTAAATATCAGAACAGTTCGTGAATAAATAATATCAAGAAGCTTAGTCTACAACAACAATCTGTAAATCGACGCAAATCCAACCATCAAAATGTTTCCCAGACCCACAAGACGTCTGAAAAGGAAATGGCCCGTTGATCTACCGCTGCAATAAACAAATGCGTGTTCCGGCGAATCTAGGCAGCAACACCTATCACCAAGTCATTTTTGTTTTATTTATATTTTTACTTTTACTTCATTTTATAATTTTCCTTTAGTTTCTTAATTATTATTACTTATTATGTACATTGTTTAATTTATTTGATTGTTTTTTTTATAGCAGTTTTGTATTATAAGACTTTATAAGTCTTGATTGACAAAATAATAAATAAAGGTATAAAAAAATATATATTAACCCTTTCGTTGTGCCGCCTATAGGGATATCGACATTGAATGTCATGTTGTGTTTGCCTTTGCTTCAAGTTCTTCATTGTAATTTCTAGTTCATTGGAAGCGTAATTTTTATTTTTCTAACAATATTTTTATTGGCAATCATAGAAATATCTTAAATATATCGTTGTGCCTGTCCATTCAGTAGTCTATTAAATTAACATAATTGAATCGAGATTAACTTAAATCCTTTCTAAAAAGAAAACCCTCTACCATACTTAATTTTGTTTGTAATTTATTAAATTTCCAATTGAATTGCGACGTCATTTTGTACAAATTCGATCATTATCATTATTTTATTATTGAAATTCATTGTTGTTTTTTTTTATTAACTATGATGTGAACTGTGAACTCAGCAACACCGATACTAATAATAAGGCAATACAATCTGTTTTTCAAATTCAGATACACCGGCAAGCATGGCTACGGCGAATTCTTGCAAATATCCGGTGTGAGAGTGATTTATGACTTGAAGGCAACCCAAGGGTCCCGAGTCATAGGCATTTCCATTCTGTGCACAGATTGTGAAGTTCCTGCTTATCAACCACTAGTGGAAGAGAAAGAGTATAAAGTGGTGTTGAATGCGTTTCTCGCAGAAGGCGGCGACGATTATGGTATGCTGAAGAATGAATCTCTATCTAGTAGAAGTATTACTACTGACGACTTGGAAGCTGCTCGAAAATACATGTCTAGCGAATCGCCAATAAGGCAGGGTATTGAGGGACGAATCACGTTCATCAATCTTGGCGATCCTAATTCATCAGTTAACCTGCACTCATCAATTGGAATGATATCATTTATATTCTTTATTGTCTTCAAACATTTTTGTACCTTGTAATAAAAACATGTATATTTAGATTAAGCAACAAAATGTAAATCTATTTTTGTCACAAAAGACATTAACCAGTAATTAATATGAATATTTAAATATTTTTATTAGTACTCCAAATTATAAATTTGTGACTTGAAGGTTTAAAAGTAAAACAAGAACTTTGTGTGTGATACAATCACTTTATTAAGAAAATATTTGTTTTTTTGTTGTTCATATGGTGCTCGCTATATTGTAATCAATATGTATTTATTGAATTAGTATATTTTATCACTTATTTGTTGCTAATTATTGAATCTTTATGATTACATATAATAGAAATGAAAAATTGTTTACACAAATCTCATTAATTTTTAATATTACATTTCAGTAAATGTGCTGAAACCTCTTACACAAGTATGAAATGTACTGATTTGTAGCTAGGAAATAGATTAAGTTTATATTATACATACATACCTGTATATATATATATATATATATATATATATATATATATATATCACTTTATTTTATTTTTATATTTTAGGTTCTCGTACATGTTAAATAACTTTATATAAACTTTATATGAAACATTAATATAATGTTATTACAAATTAAATATCAATTTTGTTTTATATTTTATTAAATTTTTGTCTGATTTGATTCACTTCATTAATTCTGAAAAAATCTCATTCACAGAATGAGAATAAGATAACTAGTGGGGTGCATGTAATTAAAAATCTTGCTACGGAATCCAAAAAAAATTACACAAAATGTGTATACATTATTGAAATCTCTATAAAATATCTGATAATTTGATGTACATATGTCCAATAAACATTTTTGACCGCCAAATTTAAACAATTCTTCATCTTGTCAATACATGTAAAATGTTTCTTGAATTATTAAAAACGGACGCTCCGTTCTTTTAAAAACTGAGTTACCGTTTTTGGGACTTTTTACCCCATATCTTCGGAATGGCTAGACTCTGTCTTCGCCGGAAACTAATCAGCACGTCTCCTTATTAATACGAATCGAATGTTTTTTGAATTATTCAAATAGAGGTTGATCGGTGTTCCCACAATCGTCGACAAAAATTTGTATTCACACACACACACACATACATCCATTTTTTCTAAGGTATGCCAAAATTTTTAGAAACCTCTGAAACGTAAAGAGATATATAAAAATTTTCATTTTCGATTTTTTTGCGATTACTATAACTTACCCTTAGTTTTAAAGTTAAAAATCTAAATTCATTAACCAATTTAAACTCAGTTTTTTAAAAGTATAAAAACTTTATTTTTATTAGAATAACATTACAATTGAGACAATGAACATTTTCATTTTCAATATTCATGCAACACAAAGTACATAAATATAAATTTTCGTCATTGTAAAATTAATCAAAAGTTCAAACAAATACATCAAAATAAATGTATTGTTCAATATTTAAATTGACCATATACTAAAATTTTATGATATAAAGTCGTTCAAAATTAAAATTAAGCATAACAGAATTATCACACTAATAAAATATTTCATAATTTTAACAATATCTAATAAACTCAAAACAGTAAAATAACAGTCTTAAAAAAATCTCTTATGACAAAGCTAAGTTTCTTTGGTGAGTATCGCCAAGCAGTGTTTCACAGCTTCTTGCAGATCACATGCCTGCTTATTAGGATAAGGACATAACTTGTATATTGATCCTAGTTGTGTCAAATACAGATTGAGCATTTTATGAGCAAAATCTTTAGATTGATTTCGAAGCCTCATATAAGCCTTTTGGGATATAATTGAACCAGGATATTCCTTTAGTATAGGAAGTTGATAATATATAGGAAAGTTTTCCAGACAAGCTAAGCACTGGCATTCAAAATAATATTGATCTCTCAACTCGGCACGCCTTTCATCTTTGGGTGTTATGGCAAAATGATGACTGAAAATTACAAAAATTAACAATAAAAAATCTCATCATAGAATCAATTATCATCAAATAATATCTTGTATATTATAGTTATATGAAAAATTAATATTTGATTAATGATTCAAAATAATATTCATACCCGTAATTATCAAATATTTCTTCTCCCTTATCTATTGGTAATAATGCTATGGTTCTCATAATTGTTTTACCTCCTACACTAAAATTGTATCTAGTAACATTTGGAGAACAGCTGTGATTAAACAAGCTGTGAACAGCAAAAGCTGCATTTCCAAGTTGCATATCATCACATGAATCATCAGCCAATTCTGAAATGGTATGCATGTTGCAAGCGCTCGTTTGTAGGTGATGAAGAATCAATCCTCCAAAAAAATCAGCTTCCTCCTCAGTAAATTTTTTTCCAACATCTGATTGTTGTTGAAAAATAATAACAAGTGCTGCTGCTACTACAGTTCTGTAACACAAATCAACTGTTTTGCGGTCTTTGCCGTGAGATACCAAACAATGTATTGGCTCATATTTATCACTTCTATATTTCCAATGACCCTGAGAGTCTTTACTAAAACCAGCCTTTTCTGAATTGCTTTCAGCATGTTTTTCAATTGCTTCCACAGATTTTTTTAAAGATTTGATGTTCGAATTGTAATATGTCAGTGCACAAATTGCTACTCTAAAGCTCAACAATTGGATTTTTGTTAACATTAATGATTTTATACTAGCTGAAAGAGAGCACTCTAAATCATGGTATTTATTAAGTCCAACATTCATGCATTCTTTGCTACAGTACATTGCGCTAGAACAATTTGGGCATGGTATTAAGTTAAAGCTTTTACACAAACAATTAGAACAACGAGTATGACATAAGTTAGCAAGAAGTGAACTAATAAATGGAGATTCTTCAGCAAGTACGGCACCTGGTTGAATATTACAATTGGCTACAAGACGTCTGCCTAACTCCGAATCATATTTCAAGTCTAATGCAGCAGAAACACAAGGTATTTCTTTATTAAAACCCTTAAAAATGGAATCGGTGATGTAATTTTCCTTTGTCTTGCTTGGAATATTATTCAAGAATTGCTCGCATTTTTTTTGCCGCACTTGCAATTTGTTTAATAAGTCTGCTGGGTAGTTGCAAATTTTGGCTTGCTCGATATCTTGTAATGAAGCTGCATACTGCTTCATCTGAAACAGCACAGCTGATCGATTACCATAAGCAAGAGCTAAATTCTTACCATTATTTTTAGCGAAGGCTATACTTTCATTATAAAAAATCAGGGCGTCGTCATAATGTCTAACTTTATACATTTCGTTGCCATAGTTACGTGCCCTTTCCGACTTGCTCTCATCTTTTCCGGAATCTATTAACGTTATGCAAACATTGTACTTTTTCAACAAAGCGCGAAAAAACTTGATTCGTTCCGAATCAAGTTTCAGAGCAGAAAATTTTAGAGAAACAGTTAGAGCGTTACCATCATCTTTAATTTTCTTTGTAATCGCATCGTGAATTTCGTCGATGGTTTGTAGGTTAGATTTATCGATTTCTTCATTTTGTGACATACCTGAGATATTCGCCGACCTCAAATATGTCTCAGCACATAAACTTATTCTTGGTTGTTAATTTGGGTTCAGAGATGTTATATGTGATAAATCAAAGACTTTTAGCCCAAGACATCTGTCAAGAAAAATCAAAACAAGGTAGAATTTCAATCGTCTGTAGCTATTCTGCACTTGTAGCGGCTGCACTATTTTGACGCATATAACTAGGGCTATGATTTTATGCACATGAAAAAGCAGACACCGCTATACCAAACTTGTGATAAAGCATATATCTATATTAATTAATATAATAAACGAGCACTTGTTATTATGTGATTACCTCCGTCTTTTACTTATGAATATAAAATGCACAAATGCGCTTATAACAATTAAGTATACTCTCGTTGTTACACCGGTTACACCCTTATCTATGCTTGTCGCTTTATGACGAGACAACAAGAGAAAAACTATGGAATTCAATCATTATTGTGATTCACGATTGCCAATTATCCGACTGTTATTTAAATGTGCTAAATTCAAATTACCTTTGATATAACAGAGTATATAACAAATATTAATATTTATATGTCGAGAAGTGTTAATTGCGAGTAGAAGTTTTAGTCCGGCAGTCCGGAATGCCCGATAGTCATTTTTACTGTATTTTTACGAAAATTTCGGTTTTTTTCAAAAATGTGCCTTTGTAGCAAATGAAACGCTCAAGAGCTATTAGAACGTTTTCGAGGTAGTTCAGAAATGGTTCGGAAGGACTCGCTATGGTTCGGTAATCATTGTGTTCAAGGTAAATTCCGTTTGTCTAGGTTCGTGAACGAAGAATGTTCTACGAAATACGTAGCCCCTACGTTTTACGAAGGATTCGGGCGTTTTTTAAGTTAGTCTATTGAAGACAGCTTCATAGTACACATATATCAGTAGATATGCTTATTTATCTATGAGTAGATTTAACCACATAACTGTGCAGTGACCATATTTTCAAAACCTAAACCTTGCTATTCAAAAGGAGAGAAACGAAACCACGTAACACTAACTCTCAGTCTGAAACTAGAAATCATCAAACGGCCAGAAATCATATTGTATTGTAAAAATTAATAATGGTTTTTGTTCCAAATAAATGTAAGTTTTAATAATGATCTTTGTTGTTAGTATTTCCTACTGATTTTGTAGTTCAATTATTTACCTCAGTGGCGTACATAGGGGTGGCGGTCCGCCCCGGGCGGCACTTATTTTGGGGCGGCATTTTTTAGTTCACATATACATAGTTGTAAAAAGCAACTTATTCGTTTCATATTTATTAACTTTCGTAGGGTAAGTTATAGAAATGGGCCGAAAATCGAAAATCAAATTTTTTGCATTTCTTCACGTTTTGAAGGTTTCTGAACATTTTGGCATACCTCAGAAAAAATGGAAGTGTGTGTGTATGTAGGGATACAATTTTTCGTCCAAGTTTTCGGGCGCACGGATCAACCGATTTGAATTGTTCAAAAAACTTTCTACGTGGATTTTAATTTGAATTCTGCCTAAAGTTCAAATGGTCACTTATATACTTGAAATAAATAATTTTAACTTTGTAATTCAGGTTATATATTTCTTATAAATATTAGTCAATGTCCTTCATTTTAAATTTGATTGATTGAGTTTTGTTTATTTACTTTTCTGTAAACATATATAAGTTACAGTATTTATTATTATCTATTTGTATATATATATATATATATATATATATATATATATAGTGTAAAATTGGAATTCTAATTTAGGAACAGGATAATAATTTTATTTTATTGTATTCAATAAAATTCGTTGAATTCGTATAAGCATCTTTACGATTTGGTTCGGCAATTTTTTCTATTTTTTTTTTATATCAGCTTATAAATGTCATTTCTTTTGAAAAGTTTATATGATTACTTTGAAGTGATATATCAATATTTATTTGAATCATCAATTTTTCTTTTGAAAATCAGGGCTGGCGGAAGGCGGCGTGCTAGGTCTGCAAAGCCTTAGGGTTATATAGAAATATGTTAACGGGGGTTGTCTAAAAAAAATACTCTGTGTATTAATTAATATTGATTAAATAACTTAATAATTTATTAACTTTTCGTAGGGTAAGTTACATATAGTAATCTTATATATCTTTTATATCTATATATCTTTACGTTTCAGAGGTTTCTGAATTTTGGCATACCTTAGAAAAATGGATGTGTGTGTGTGTGTTTAGATGCAAACTTTCGTCGATGATTGTGGGAACACGCATCAACCGATTTGAACGAAACATTCGATTCTTACAGATAAGACGTGCTAATTAGTTTTTGGCAAAGGCAAGTCCAGCTGTTTCAAAGATAAGGGGCAAAAAGACAAAAATTGTAATTTAGTTTTTGAGAGAACGAAGCGTACGATTTAAGTAATTCAAAAACATTTTATTTGTATTGACTAAACGGAGAACTGTTTTTGGAATGAGAGATCTAGCGGTTACAGAGATTCAATAAGAAAAAGTAAAAAAATGACATTTGGCGGTCCAAAATGATCATATTCACGTCAAATTATCTGATATTTTCTAGAGTTTTTAATAATAAGAACAAACTTAATTTACATTTCTACGGGTTCCGTATCAATGTCTATCCGTTAGACTGCAACGCGACGCTTACGCGCTTCGATATTTCGTCTCCAAAACAGCTGCGCAGCGCGATTGATTTGAAAAAAAGTTACAAATTTTCAAAAAATTTCAAAATATAAAAAAACAAATTTTTCAAAAAAGTCAATTGTTTTCAAAATTTTCGATATTCTCAAAAATATATTTTTTTCAGATTTCAAAAAAATTTAAACCTTTTTTAAATTTATGTTTTGGTACGGGAAGTCCTAGCAATTTGCCTTAAGGCACAATGCTATGCACCACTAGTTTATTTGTATTAATTTATGAAAAGTACTATTGGACTGACTTATAATTGAAAGGGCGGCAAAAGTTCTAGGTACGCCACTGATTAACCTAATTGTTCTTATATGGTAATTAACGCCCGATAGTCCGGAATTTATGCTAGTCTGACACAGGCTAACTACTGTAATATAACCCTCCAAACAGATAATAAATTTTTATTAACTGATCTGGGTGCCTAATTTAGCCCTAATGCTAGTCATAATCAGATGTTAAAAGATCAAGTTGATCAATAAGATTTATTTTAAATTAATTAATCTGTATGGAAACGCTATAAATTTTGGATTTGTAAAATTTCCAAAAAAATCTTTTCATTTGTTAAATACGAAAAATTCGGTTGAGTAATTTTTTTTTTCAAGATTAATATCAATCAGATTAGTATCGCGAACCAGTAAATACTCTAAGTTTTCAGAATCGAACAAAATTAACGCGTTCGATTCCTTAACATTTGGATAATCAACACCGTTACAATTATGTATTTCGCATGAATTTATAATTTTTAAAATCTATATGTTTTTCAAAAAGACTAGAAATGAAATTTATTTGCAACATTTATGTGTTAACAACAGAGCAATGGCCAATACTTTCAAATTTATTATAAAACGATATCTTTCACAATTGATTTTGATTTTTCTTTAATAGTTAAGTAGATCTAAAATATGTTGAAATATATCTGAAAAATTCGAAAGATAAATTATTTCATCACAAATATTTTCAACTGTAGAAGTATGTTAATTACGAAAAATGCGGCTTCAACGATCGTTATCAAAAACAATTCAAAAACATTTCGGTCGATTTTTATATAAGCATGTTAATAGTAAAAGAAAGCTATCGATCATTTTTTAAATGTTTAAGGGTTCAAAATAAATTTTTAACAGTTAATTACGAAAAAACTGTCTAATCGGTCATAACGCAAAACGAACCAACGTTAATCCTTATTGAAATTCATCAAAAAGCTAGGTTTTTTTAATTGGTGCAGTAATTACTAAGAAAACGTCGACGAAATACAATTTTTGTATTGACTACTTTGTATATTTTCGAATCGGACCTTCTGGTAAAATTAGACTTTAACATAGGGAAGTTAATTAGAGTGATCACAAATTTTTTGTAAACAAAATTGATTTTGCTCACAATTTGCTCCTTTTTTATTTGAACAGCGATCAGAACTTAAGCGGTTTCGTAGATGGCAACCCAAACTATTATCCCATTTCTACGTGTTGAATTCTTACATGTCTGCAATGGCGATGAAAAAATGTGAAATGCTTCACAATTTTGCATGTTCCCACTAAGCCAAAATACGTAATATTTATGTAATTTTTACGCAAAAAAGTTACATACTTATGTCATTTTTACGTAAGATTAATGTAAGATATGTGTCATAATTTCGCCTATCTTAAGTAATGTGGATTACGTAATATGGGATTACGAAAATATTTCATAATAATTACGTAATTTTTGAAAAAAAAATGACGTGGAGGGGCTCTTTTTTACACACATACATATATACACACAGCATATCTGTATATATGAACACACACATACACACATATGTGTATATATGAACACACACATTCATGAACATAGAAATGAGTATGCACACACAGTATGTACATACATATATAATATATATGTATGTACACACACGCATACATATAAACACACACACACACACACACACATATATATATATATATATATATATATATATATATATATACACTATCTGAAAAATGAACGAAAAAGCACATTTATATGGCATGTTTATTTTTTCGGCATATATACACAATTTAAACATTAGCAAATCCATAAAGTAATAAATAATAATTCACAATTTTTATAAAATAATGTAATTACATATAACATATTGATCAACATTTTCATGGCAAATGGAAAAATATACAATATGATAAATGATAAGTAAAATTAAATGATAAGTAAAATTAAACTCGAAATAAAAATCATCGAAGTATCCTTTACAAAGTCTTCATAAGTTCTTTCACTAACTATTTTATGGAAAATATTATGTAATTAGGAACTGTCGTATCTTCTGTTAAAACTAAATGTGGGTATAAGTCTATGATGTCTTCTCTACAAAAGCATTCTCGATATCTATTTCATGGCCCATTTGTGATGAAAAAATGCATCTCGGATATAAATTATTAGCTTTCGATTTTCACCTGAAATAAAAAACATGGTAATAATTTCTATTTAACTTTTGATACATATATTTTTTATATACTTACACAAAGCAAATGGTTTTCAAAAGGCCAAGTGATTCTGTTATATATAATTTGTCACTGAATTTATATTAACAATAAAATAGTATTTAGAATATGAATACCGTTACATTTGAAACAAAATTCTTTATATATCTAATTATTATTAGAAAAAAAATTAATAACACACACGATTAATTTTTAGGTTAATGGAGCGTTTTAGAGTAAAGATTTAAGTAATTCATGTAATTTAAGAGGCTTTAGAATATATTTATAATAAACATATATCTTCACATATTTAATATCACTTTCACATTTAATTAGCAAATTAAAAATATTGATAAGACACTACAAAACACAAAACTTAATTTAAAACGCATGGCGAGTCGTACTCCCATAATCCTTGCCTAGTAGCCGCTAGTAGCCGGCGGCTCGGCACGGCAGTCTCCTTGCAGACATAACGGTACTTATGTCACTTAGCGCCGTTCATTGGTTGACGTTTCGTTCATGAAACGAAATATTCCGAAAATTCGCGAGCCATTTTTATTTCGTCTCTATGCAGTTAATGCAGTACGATTACTTTGAAAAAAAGTTAAGAATTTTCAAAATATTTCAAAATAAAGCAATTATTTTTTTTTCAAAGTCTTTTTTTCAAAAAAGGTAATTTTTTGTCAAAATTTTATAGTTTCTCAAAAATCTAATTTTTTCAAAGTAAAATTTTTTCAAAAATGTTAATCTTTTTAAAACAAAATAATTATTAGTACGGGAAGTTCCAACAATTTGCCTAAAGGCACGATGCCATGCGCCGCACTAGTTTATGTAATATATATGAAATAAAATCTTCATTTTTCTTACGTAATATTTTTTCAGGAAAATTACGTAATATTTATGTAATTCTTTCGTAATATCTAATTACGTAATGTAGATTACATATTTCTTACATAAAAATTACGTAATATTACGTAACTGGTTTAGTGGGTTATTCTTGCGTAGAACTATGCTTCTGAAAAATCTTTACTGTGTAATTCCAATATTAGCAAATGCTCTGCCGAACCAAGAACATGGTCATAAATGTAAACAGAAAAACGGTTTTTATTTGTTTTCTCTAATTCTTTATTTACTTCAGTATCAGTGATGTGTTCATAAAACATTTCACCTCCATTTAACTATAGTACACAAATAAAAGGTAAACCATTGGGTTTTCCTATAGAAAATCAATTAATAACAAACAAATTACTCAATGTTTTTCTATAGAACGATTGTAATTTATATGGAAATAAAATATAAACCTTTCATTTTATTTGATTTAGGTGATCGTTTATGTGCATGTCGTATCTGTGATATCAGTCAGTTTATGTACATAAATACATGTAATTCACTTATATATTTTTAAGTAAGATACCATGGTATGTCACTGGTACTGCAAGCTCTCCAACAATTTACAATTTGTTGGAGGCTTTGTTACATCGACGTGGACCTCAAAGACTTGTACTCATTTGTCACTTTCGAATGACAATCTTATTGTTTTTCGGTTGAAAAATATTTTATAATTTCGCTTCTGGCGAAAAATGAATACATAGTCGGAAAAAAAACATTCGGGGAGAGCGGAGCTTAAAAGTTCGTGGGTAAAAAGATCCACTGCCAATATCTCAAAAACAAGTAAAGTTAGAAATTTTGTACATGTATATATACGTAGGTTTATATGTATATGTGTATATGTGTACTTATATATTCTTTTTCTTTTTTCTTTTTTATCTATTTTATATCTAGTTTCTATTACCTTTTCTATCTTTCATATTTTGTTTGTTTTTATTCATTTATAGTTTCTATACCAATCCACATATATTATAATTATCTAGTTATACTAATTTTTTATACTGTTTTAGATCCACTGATGATGATATTAAATTGAATGTCGAAACGTTTGGAATTAAAGATTAATTTATAAATCTTTGCTTTTTATTCTTTGATGTATCGCCCCACAAGAACTATATATATATATATATATATATATATATATATATATATATATATATATATATATATTATATAGCCTTATAATAATATAAATTATAAATTATCATAATTTGAGGAAGTTATTGATTTGTCTGCACACGTAGAGATAACGTTACGTAAAGCACTGAAGCAATGGCACAAAATTTAATATAATGATTTTTTATTTGTGTTTACTATGTTTCAGTTATACGCGATATAACAAGCGTGCTCCTAAATTCACGACTTCTAACTTCTCTTTCTAATACGAAAATACTGCATTCTCATAAATACATTTTTGCTCTCATGAGCGATATCGCATGTTGCTCAATAATGAGATTAGACAAGCATTCGATGGGAAAACTATGGGACTTAATGGTGATGATTTACAAATGGCAATTAAATTTAACAAATGAAACTCATATTTTCGATATCACTTGTCGACATATTCGTGGAATTTGCAAACTCAATCCCGAGGCAGACGTTGCGCGTCTGACCAACAATACAATAGACATATTTCGAAAAGTTTGGCTCAAATTGTCGCCTAAACAGATCATCCGACTAAGAGAGAGTTTGATCGATTGGCTGCGACCATATCGCGTTAAAGTAACGCTTTTATTGCGGTTAGGACTACAAAATCTGGATGGAAGTTTTCTTATTAATCCTTCAATCGAAAAATATGGAAGCATATTGTGCAACTTGGGTAGCAATATTTACATTGATTACGATTATATACAACCTATTCGAAATGACGATGAAAGCGAAAGCATCGACTCTTCAAATGAACGTGGAGATTTTTTGGATCTGAAAGCTTTGGTAGATGAGCTCCTAGGCTCATGCGAGATTAAAAACTCGAATTTGCCAACCATCGATTTAAATTTTCAGCAAAATCTGAAATCAGATGAATCAAGACTGGAAATGGAACATAAATTTGAAAGTAAAGCCGATGATATGAATCAATTACATCAAATTTATGGTGAAATGAGTATGGAAGAAAAAAATCCAATCCAAGGAGAGACATCATCATTTCAGCAGCAGTTGTTAGATATGTTGGAATCTGATGAAGAATAATTTTAAAATATTTTGGGATCATGAAGCACAAGTAGATGAGTTAAATATTAATCATGAGCCATTTCAATCAAGCTGTTGCATTTAAACTATAAAATGGTTTTAAGATTTATTTTACAAAGCAATAATATTGACTCCAAACATCTACACCAAGCAAAAACTATGAGGTCATTTATATTTGTTCATTATTTTAATATTGTATTCTAAAAACTATATATATCGCAAAGGTGTCAAATTGTTCTTAGTTTGATTATTAGCTCATCACATAATCACTGACCAATCCTTATTTTACAAAAATTGCTTGTCAGTGTATAGTTCAGTATTAATTGAAATGCAATGCAATTAATTCAAATACAATAAAATTGCATTTAATATTATTGTATAAATTTTATATTGTACAATTTGTATTTATTTAAATCGTGAGCTACAGCTAATGTCTTATTAAGAAAATAATATGCTATAAATATCTATAAGATAATGTGATAGATATAACTTATCTAATGTGAATTATGCAATTTTAAGAATAACGCGTTGTTATATGTACATTCTATGTTTTATTTATAAACTGTTTACGTAAGTATTTAAATTGTTTGCAAACCATTATAAATATTGCTGCAATGATTTGTATGTTTGTATGTGAGAAATTCGAGTTAATATATTAATGAGAAAGGCTTTAAATTATTATTATTAAACTAATTAACATTAATTAAATATTAAATAATAAAAGTTTTTACAGAATTTATTTTATTTGTGTAAAAATTACATGTTCAGTCACAACTTTATAAATTGAATGCAAAATATATATATACATAGCAAGTATTTCTATAAGTCACAAACAAAATAATTTTCTTTTTGGTAATGTTTCATTATCATAACTCATGCAATGTGTAAAATATTATTTATTCATTTATGTTAATATATATTAATAAATATATATTTGATACGTCAGTGTGAATTTACATTTACATTATATTTGCTATTTTACACCTATTTTTTTTATTATATATACAATTCTCAAATTACTAATGTTCATGTAGTAAAATCAAGAAGGTATTTTTTTCCAGTAAAACCTTGGATAGTCATAGTATTCATAAGAGCTTCAGTGTAATTTTGGAATGGCACCATTTTATATGCTGGGCCTCCCAACTTTTCACTACGCATCAATTCTATAATTTCATTAAACATGGCTATCTTTTGTGGGGAATCATGATTAACTTTACTCCAGTGTGTCATCCAAAATCCCTTAACTGCAAGGTCTTTGAAAATAAGTGCTGAAGTTGGTATGGTAACAGGTTCCCGGGACATACCACCATATGTGACCATGACGGCACTGTGCTCTAAATGCCTCACCATTTCTAAAGCTATTTTTCCTCCTACACAGTTCAAAGCTAGCACTGGTCTAGGTAATTTTTTTTCTTTAAAAATAGTGGTCACTCTAAGTTCCTGCTCCGTCAGCACAAGACTTGCTCCCATTTTTGTCAAAAATTCTTTCAACTGAGCAATTTCTGGACGATCACGGACTATAGCCACATTTTTTATACCCCAAATTTTACACAGTTGAATGACATTTTGACCACATGCGCTGTTCGCCCCATTTTGAATTATGCAATCGCCAGGTTTTAATTGCTGAAAATCGCGTAACATACGGTATGCCGTGCATGGATTTACAGTTAGGGTTGCGGCTTCTACGACACCTAGATCAGACGGAACCTAAGAAAAAGAATAGCTTGTGTCTAATTAGAAAATGTTGCTAATATGAGGAGATTGCATGCAATTGTTGTATTTCTAATAAAGGAATATTAACCTGCAATAATTGATCCGCACGATAAACAGCATGCGATCTCCATGTGCCTAAACCAGCAGATAATGGAACCACACGGTCTCCTTCTTTTACAGTTTGAACGCCTTTTCCAATTTGCAAAACTCGTGCTACACCTTCGTTGCCAGGAACTGAGGGCAGCAATGGACGCACAGGATATTTACCTGGTAATTTAATTTAATATTTAATTTTTCTGATTAATTATTATTGTATCACGTCATAATATGTAAATAATTGTACAAACGTTTACAATGTGTAATATGTATGCATATTAGCAGCATTTAGCCACCTACAGCATTTCATTTTTACATTCTAAATTCTTTTTTAATTCTTTTTGTTACTTATCTTTTTATGCAATTTCAAATCAACAATACAAATTCTAATTAATTTTAACTTAATATTTTGAATTACTATTTATTTAAACACTATTTACTTCTTTAACCCTCCATCGGTCGGCGTGGTCCGGCCAGACTTTTTTCGACTTAAATTAAAAAAAATAAATACGGCGGTCAACCCGGGCGGCACTTACCTTGGGGCGGCATTTTTAAATTTACTTATACTTGTAAAAAGCAACTTATTTTTCAAATAACTTTATATTTCAAATTTACTTTCTTTCTTGAATTATAAATGATTGTTAACCTCCCGAAGGAGAAGTTTATGTTTTCATAAAAAAAATCAGATTCGCTAATTTTATGTTTTCTCGACGTTTTAAGCCATTCTGAATCGAATGAGAACAAATTTGGAAAAAGTATGTGTGTGAACAGATTTTTTGCAGTAAATCAGCTGGACCGATTTCAAAATTTTAAAAGCCATTCGATGTACATATCTGGATGAGGATTAGCATTTATCAATTTTGATGATCAGCCAAGCCGTATCTTTATAAATAGCAGAAAAGTGAAAATTTTTTCGTCCACGTTTTAGCGCGCAATTCTGAATCGATTTTGAAAATTCAAAAACCGTTCGAAAAATATTGATTGGGAATCGACCTGATAAGTTGTTGGTAAAGATCGGTCCGGCCGTTTTCTTGGAATGAGGTATTAAAAAAATCGACGATTTTTATGATTTTTTTGACGGTAGATACCATAGTCTTATAGATCATACTAAAATATTACGGCCCTACGGTAAGTCGATTAATTTTAAAAATTCGTCAAAGTTTGCGAAAATTATTTTGCATTTATCAAAATTAGACCTTTCATCAACGGCCGAGCCGTTTCTTTGTAATTTGGAAAAAAGTGTTAAACTTTTCGCCCGCATTTAAGCTCATACTACCGAATTGATTTTAAAATATCAAAAACTGTTCGAAAGCTATTAGTTGGGAATGATACTGATTAGTTTTAAGTGAAAATCTACCGAGCCATTTTCTTCTAATTAACTGCTGAAAAAAAAATTAAGACGATTTTTATGGAACTTTTTTTTTGGCGATATATTTTATGGTCTATAAAGTTTGAGAAAATGAATAGTTTTTTTGACGTTGGTTAAAATTAAAATTAGACGATTTACTTGATTTAACGATAGAGTACTTGGTCTTAATCAATATACTGAACCATTAAAGTCCTACGGAAACTGGTTCAATTATAAAAATTATTGATATTTGAGAATTTGCTTTTAGAAAATACTCCGAGTTAACGTATTCGTTCGTTTTCAATAATGTGTAATAAATACTTTTAATCATCAATCATAAATTAATTTATTTTTTAACTTCCCGCAGGGCAAGTTATAGTAATCGCAAAAAATCGAAGGTTTCTAAATATTTTGGCATACCTTAGAAAAAATGGATGTATGTGCGTGTGTGCGGATACAAATTTTCGTCGACGATTTCGTGAACACCGATCAACCGATTTCAAAAACTAGCTGTAAGTGGAATTCTGTCTTAAGGCAATTAAGGCATCGTGCCTTAAGGCAAATTGCTGGAACTTCCCGTACCAAAAATTATTATTTTTTTAAAAACGATTAACATTTTTGAAAAAAATTTACTTTGAAAAAATAAGATATTTGAGAAACTATAAATTGGACAAAAAATTACTTTTTTTTTGAAAAAAAAAAAAATTAAAAACAATTTTTTTTTTTATTTTTTTTTTTTTTGAAAAAAAAAATTTTTTTCTTTATTTTGACATATTGTGGAAGATCTGAACTTTTTTTTCAAAGCAATCGTACTGCTTTAACTACATAGGGACAAAATATAAAGCGCGTAAGCGCCGCGTCGCTGTCTAACGCATAAGCATTGGTACGGAACCCATAGGAATGTTAACAAAATGTATACTGATTGTTAAAATCTCTATAAAATATCTGATAATTTGATGTACATATGTCTAATGATCATTTTTGACCGCCAAATGGCTCATTTTTTTACTTTTTCCTCCATATCTCCGAAACCGCTAGACCTACCTTCATGAAAATTTTATCGATTCTTCATCTTGTCAATACAAGTGAAATGTTTTTTGAATTATTCAAATCGAACGCTCCGTTCTCTTAAAAACTGAGTTACCGTTTTCGGCACTTTTTGCCCCGTATCTCCGGAACGGCTACACCTGCCTTCGCCAAAAACTAATCAGCACGTCTTCTTATCAATACGAATCGAATGTTTTTTGAATTATTCAAATCGGTTGATCCGTGTTCCCGAAATCGTCGACGAAAATTTGTATCCGCACATACATACACACACATACATACATACATACACACACACATTTTTTTTTTTTTTTTTTTTTTTTTTTTTTTTTTTTTTATAGAGAAGGAAAAATCTTTCAAAGACACCGTGTGTTTAAAAGATGATGGACGGTAGTTGGGATTTCCACCCACTAAAAAACCTCCTCTCCTCATTCCCCCGCATATGATCACGAGGAAGACTGGGTCGGAACCGCGTTAGCATTTCTTCAACCCAGTCCGTGTTGCGTCACGTGACGTTAGCTCCTAAGTTTATTGGTCCCTCTCGGCGATTTTTGCTGTCAAGAGGCGCCGTGCATAAGCTGCTACCTCGGCCCAGTTTTCCTTGCTTTGCAGCATAGTATTTACAATGTTCTGGGGATTAAGGGCCCTTCCCAGGGACAATTCGGTGTCAGCCCTGAAGTTCTTCCAGCGCGTGCACTTAAAAAAGGTGTGCTCAGCATCGTCGGCTTTTTCCGGACAGTATTTGCACGTCGGTGATGTGTGCAAACCGAACCTGAAGAGATATGCATTGAACGAGCCATGACCCGTCATCATCTGAGTTAGAAAGAAGTCTGTTTCGCCATGCTTCCTGTCGAGCCAGGCCTCGATATTAGGGATCAGGCGTGCTGTCCATCTACCACGATCAGACGCCTGCCACCTTACTTTCCATTCCTTCAGGGTGTCCTTTCTCACCATTGCCTTCGCTTCGCTGGCATTGAGGCCTCTTTTTTTGAGGTTATACAACCTGGCCCTTTCATTCGCCAAAAGGTCTATAGGCGGAGCTCCAGCTATAACAAGCACTGCGTCTTCGGAAACTGTGCGATAGGCACAAGCCACTCTAAGTGCTCCTCGCCGCTGCACTGCTGCCAGTTTCTTACGATACGTCTTCTGTTGTAATGTATGCGCCCAGATTTCCGCTCCGTAAAGCAGAACTGAGTGAACCACCTCCAGGAGAGCTCTTCTCTTTTTGGCACGTGGGCCGATAGTATTGGCCATGATTCTCGATAGACTAGACACAGTCTTGCTAGCCCTTGTACACGTGCGTTCCAAGTGTTCACGGAATGTCAGCTTTGCATCTAACTGAACGCCCAAATAGCGGACTGACTTTGTAGACGTCAGTGTTAGCCCGTCGATGATTGTACTAAACGGTTCTGGGAACCATTTTTGGCGTGTTAGGACTACCATCTCCGTTTTCTCTTTGGCTAGCTTCAGATGGTGCTGGTCCAACCAGGCCGCGACGGCTTCGATGGTGAAATCGACCAGTACCTCGGCCTCTTCAACGCTGTCTGCCACAATAGTAGCTGCGACATCATCCGCAAACCCTGTGAGATGCACCTGCGGGGGTAAGGGAATTTCGAACAGCTCGTCATAGTCAGCGTTCCACAGATCAGGTCCCATAACCGAACCCTGTGGTGCACCAGCTGTTATCTTGCGGCTCACTGTTCCCTCAGTGGTTTCAACGATGAGTACTCGATCGTCCAGGTAGCTGTCCACCATTGTCAAGATGTCATCTTTCACCCGGAATCTCATACACACACACATACACACACACACACACACATACATCCATTTTTTCTAAGGTATGCCAAAATGTTCAGAAACCTCTGAAACGTAAAGATATATAAAAATTTTCATTTTCGATTTTTTTTGCGATTACTATAACTTGCCCTACGGGAAGTTAATAATTAAAAAAAAACATTCGATTCGTACGCCAAAAACGGTAATACAGTTTTTTAAGAGAACGGAGCGTCCGATTATAAAACTTCAAAAAACATTTGCTTGTATTGACAAGATGAAAAACTGATTAAATTTTTGGCATAGGCAGATCAAGCCGTTTCAAAGATAAGGGGCAAAGAACCAAAAATTATAATTCAGTTTTTGAGAGAGCGGAGCGTCCGATTTGAATAATTTAAAAACATTTTATTTGTATTGATTAAACAAAGAACTGTTAAAATTTTTGGAAAGGCAGGTCTAACGATTATGGACTCTCAATATTTTTTTTTTAAATGTAATTTATCTTTAAAAATGTTCACTAAACATATGCACATCAAATTATCAGATATTTTATAGAGATTTTAATATTGTGTACACATTTTGTGTCATTTTTTTGGGTTCCGTACCAAGATTTTTTAATTTTGAAGTTTATGTATATGGTTGAAACAAATGTCCTCGACATTTTCGACAGTATGGAATAACCGATTTGTATTTTTGAGCAAACATTCGGTACTCGATCGCGAGGCGTTTTTGCAAAAAGCATCCTGCCGTTTCGCAGGTATGGAGGTAAAGGGTAAAAAAATAGTCATGCAGTTTTTGAGAGAACGGATCATCCGATTAGATTAATTCAAAAAACCTTTTGCTTGTGTAGACGGTGTGCAAAAAATTTCTTTTTTTTGAAAATTTTCAAAAAAAAAAATTCAAAATTTTCAATAAAAAATTTAAATTTTCAGAAAACTCAAATTTTTGAAACTTTTCATCATTCTGAAAGAAATATCTAAATTTCGAAAAATTTGAAAATCATCAAAATTAGAAAAAAATACGATTTCTTACGAGAATATTTCGAAATTTTTAAAAAATGGGACATTTTCAAAAATTTCCAGGTTCTCAAAAAATAAAAAAAAATCGTTTTTTTTTAGTATCAAAATTATCAAAAAAATAAAAAAAAATTAAAGAAATTTCTTGTAAGCATACACGCAAGTTGTTTGTAGAATACGCTCGTCGCCGGTACGGGAAGTTCCAGCAATTTGCCTTAAGGCACGATGCCATTCGCCCCGCTGGTTATTGATTAAGTCGATTATTTACATATATCGAGAAGTTCATGTAACTTGCCTCAAGGCAAATTACCAATACTAACTAGTTTACTTTTCTGTAAACATATATAAGTTACAGTATTTATAATAATCTATTTGAAAACATTTAATATTTCTCGAATTTTTCATTACGTTACGGAAAGTTCTAGCAATTTGCATTTAGGCACGATGTCATACACCACTAGTTATGATTATTATTATTGTCAATATTTGATTTATACAAATTATGATTAACTATATGATCTTGAATATAATTCCTCGGTGTATATAAATGCATTTCAGTGTAAATTTTAAATTCTAATATAAGAACAAGATAATATTTAATTATTTATTTATTTTATTGTATTCATTAAAATTCGTTGAATTCGTAAAAGGATCTTTACGATTTTGTTCGGCGATTTTTCCTAACTAAATTTTTTTGATATCAGCTTATAAATGTAATTTCTTTTGAAAATGTTTATATGATTACTGTGAAGTAATATGTCAATATTTTTTTTAAATCATCAATTTTTCTTTTGAAAATCAGGGCCGGCGAAAGGATGTCTGCAAAGCCTTAGGCATTATATAAATATGTTTACGAGTGCTTACAAATATGTCTAAAAAAATTACTCTGTGTATAAATTAATATTGATTAAATAACCGTAGGGTAAGTAATAGTAATCGCAAAAAAAATCGAAAGTGAAAATTGTTATATATTTTTACGTTTCAAAGGTTTTTCAGCATTTTTGCATACCTTAGAAAAAATTGATGTGTGATTTTAGGAACACGCATCAACCGATTTGAATAATTCAACTAAACATTCGATTCGTACTGACAAGACGTGCTAATTAGTTTTTGGCAAAGGCAGCTCCAGCTGTTTCAAAGATACTGGACAAAAAAGCCAAAAATTGTAATTTAGTTTTTGAGAGAACGAAGCGACCGATTTGAATAATTTAAAAAACATTTTATTTGTATTATTGACTAAACGAAGAACTGTTTCTGGGAAGACACGTCTAGCGGTTATAGAGATTCAATAAGAAAAGGTAGGAAAATGAACCTGGCGGTTCAAAATGATAGTTAGACATATGCACGTCAAATTATCTGATATTTTCTAGAGTTTTTAATAATAAGAATCTACGGGTTCCGTATCAATGTCTATGCGGTAGACTGCAACGCGAGGCTTACGCGCTTCGATATTTCGTCTTCAAAACAGCTACGTCATATAATAAAATATATATTAAAAAAACTTTTGTAACAATTTTTTGATAAAAACGTATTATTAACATCAAACAATATTAATGTGTCGGATGTGAAAGTTTATTTTTACACAAATAATTAAATCTAGGCTCAATTTGAGTTAGTGCAGATCGTAATAAATTTTCAACGTTTATTTGGTATTTTGTTTTTATGTAAGTTGGTGTGGAAAAGGCTGATTCACATAAATATGTTGTACAGAATGGCAATAATTTGTTCATTGCCATTTCCGATAGTAGGGGATATTCTGATTTGATTTCTATCTAAAATTCATGCACAGCCACTTGAAAAAATCTTTAGAACTTCAGAAAATCTGATTCGCAAAGTAGTATCACTTGTTAATTCGGCAAATTCTTCTTATGCTTTTAAGTTTAAAAAATTAATTTATTCCATTTTAATTGAAAATGAATTGCAAATTCGGTGAATCGATATCATTAGGAAAATACCTATGCATGTAAACTTCTGTATTTATATTTGTATGTAGGGTGTATACTAATTTTGAAATTTTATTTATAATGATTGAAAAGTATCAGATCTCTGTGACCCCTGTTCAGTAGTCTCGCGACCTCCCTGGGGGTCGCGACCCACAGTTTAAGAAGACCTGGTCTAGGATGCTAGCTATGTCCGCCATTAGATCGTATATAGATCATATACATTTATATCTGCCGTTAAAGACAGCGGTAATATATATATATATATATATATATATATATATATATATATATATATATATATATATATATTGCATCACATATGTGATATGCACTTACTAAAATTATTTTGTCTTTTATTATTTAGTTAATTAATAATTACTAGTCTACAATCAAATTACGTAATACTAGTCTACAATCAAATGTATTTATAAAAATTAATCCAAGAATTATAAAAATTTATTCAAGTTTAGGTGCCGTGCTTGAGCGATTTTAAACAAAATCTATGCCGAAAGCATCGTACGTATGGTGTTTCGTATGCAGCTACTGATTACAGTTTACGTCCGCACATAAAGAAAATACATTTTTAGAACACGAATAAGTTGAAATGAAATGTGTTATTAATTTATTTTTTTCAATTACAGATATTATAAGTATGTTTCAAAAATATCAATAGAAAATTATTTTTAATGAAAGCGAAATTTTTAATGTCGAAATAAATGGTTGAACATTTGATCTAATATAGCTCATTCTAATACTTGTTGATTAAGTCGTTGATTTAAGGCAAAATGATATTAACAATTATTTACACATGAATCTCTTTGAGCGAATAGAAACGGTGTTCAAATGCACTTACTACAAAACATGATACATTTATGGCGAAAAATATTATTCGTGCAGAATATTAAGTGTTGTAAGAGTGTATTATATATATTCCTCAAAATTTTCATTTGTAAATTAGTTTCAGCTACTAGACAATAAATAAAAATAAAAATATAAATCATGAGTTTCTCCAACAAAATAAATATTTTTTCATATACATAATATAGGATATACGTTTGCACAGAATGTGAGTAATCCTGATCCGATGTGAAGTACGACAAATAAATCACTATTGATAAAATGTAAAATGTTTACTTATTACCGCCGCTTCAATTTTTGTTTAACCAAATGAATGTATTTAATAGAAGAAGGAGTACTTAACTATTATACCATTATTTGTTAAAAATTATTACTTTAATTACCTTGGATCGTGTTGATATCAGCTGGATTCACGGGCGCTGCAATCATTTCAACCAGAACTTCGTCATCTTTGGGTTCTTCTAGAGGAATTGTTTTTCGTGTCACAACCTTGACAGGATCGCCATGTTCTAGATATTCTAACCTGTTACTCATTAAACTCATATTATTTTTTATAATATTGGTCGTCAGGTTTTTTGTCAAAAATGACATTTTAGAGAAGAGCGCCGACATAATGAAATTATTTCGGAATTGGTAAGTACTATATTTGTATACGGTTAATTTATCAATGCGAATAACGTTGTCTACGATAATGTATGTTTGTCAATTTTTAATTTTTACATTCAATTGTTCATGGTGTTGCGATAGATGTTAATGGTATTTTACTCCCGATTACAATTTCAATTTATTTATTATTATGTTGATCGTAAACCTATCAGATGATAATAACCTCACCGATTGTGCAGTAGTACCACCAACGCATGCGAAATATTTTTCTGTGACTATTCATAGTCAGCATGGCGAATTTGTTATTAATGTTATTATAAATATACCGTGTTCAGATTATATTTACACAAAAGAAATTTGAAGGTGAGTTTTCATCGATTTGCTTTTAATTGCGTCTTAATTAGTTACGTGTAGTGACGGATGAGTCGATCGTTTTCATAACAGCTGCGTTACGCATATTTCTCCAATTTGTTATTGATTAAAATACATAAATATTTATTCGCGCAAGGTGTTTTCAACCAAATCGTTTGTAAAATCTACTAATGTACTATTTTCTAATTATTTTTCAGCTTTGAACCTAACCTATTTTTACCTTACACTTTGTCTAATCTAACTTAGATCCTCTCCCTTGAATTCATTCCCAATTTCATTAGTCATTTTTTCCTTTATCCTTACACCATGGTGAAAAAGAAAAGACAATCTGACGCTTCCGAAAATTGTGGTGATTCTACAGAATCATGTGATGACAGTCAATGTAAAAATTGTCCTCATATATCTAAAGCTATTGATCTTACAAAAGTTAGAAAATATGTGCAACAAAATGGAATTTCTAGAATTTGTAGTGATTGCCAAAAAATGCCTCCAGATGCAGAATCATCGAAAGAAGAATTTGTGTATGACATTACCTTGTGGCTTTGTCTTAAATGTGGTTCGCAAGGCTGTGGTCGCACTCGTAATGAACATGCACTGAAACATTTCAAAACTCCACGTTCTGATTTGCATTGTATCAATATTAATACAGAAACATTGCAAATTTGGTGCTACAATTGTGACAAAGATTTGAATATGACAAGTGCCAAGAAGCTGACTGAAAGTGTAGAATATATCAAGAAGGTGTCTGCTAACTCTTCAAGTATAGAAACAGTTATCAAGAACACACTAAACAATATGGAGCCTTTACTTAAAGATACACAAGCTCAAGTAATTAGCACTGGAAGTATACCAAAGTCCAATGTTAGTTTGAATAAGACACCAGCAAAGGTGAAAGGGTTAACCAATCTCGGTAATACGTGTTTCTTTAACGCTGTTTTGCAATGCTTGGCACAGACTCCTTTCTTGTTGGATGTTATTGGTGAAATGTCAGAACCTGGTGAAAAGTAAGTTTTATTTAATTTTTATATTCATTTAAACAATTTCATATTATAATTGAACTTTTTTTAAAATTTTTGTAGGTTTATACTGCCTGGTGGCAAAATAATGATTAATGATAAGGAAGAGGTTTTAGAGCCAATATCAGGAGAATTGAAGGCTTGGGGTTCCATAACCCAAGCATTGCATTCTACGTTGTACGAGTTGTCTAACGGGCTAGGTGGTCAGTTATAATGCTAATTATATACTTTATTTATTTAGAATATTAATTGAATACTAATTGAATACTAATTTTGTGCTTATTTAAGGTGGCGTTGTAACTCCCAATCGCCTTTTGGGTCAGTTAACCACCAAATTTCCTCAGTTTGGTGGAGGTGATCAGCATGACTCCCATGAGTTACTTCGACATCTTCTTGAAGCTGTAAGGTAAGTAATGAATTTTGTATTTATTCAATACTGTATTAGTAGAAGTTCTTAATTGTGAAAGTAAAATGTTAAATTATTATTTTAATCATTTTTGGATTTTTCAGTTTTCAATAGTGCTAAATAATCTTAAATATTCTTTTTTAGGTCTGAAGATATTCGGCGATATCAGTCAGTGATCTTGAAGCATTTAAACCTTGGGAAAATAGCTACTTTGGAATCTGTTGATCCAGATTGTAAGATGAAAACCAAGTTTTATGGTAATCAAGTTGCAGAAGGAATTATGCGCGCTGAACAAGTTTTTCGTGGATCATTAGTATCTACTTTAACATGCCAGGTAACTATTAATTATACTGAATATGTCAAGTATTTCTAAATTAAACTAATTGAGTCATTTATTTTTTTAGGATTGCATGCATACATCGATAAGGCATGAATCTTTCTTAGATATTTCTCTACCCATATCATCTGACAAACCTCAACCGCCTAGAAGGAGATTGAGTCCAGATCCTGTTGATATGTATGTTATTGGTGGGAAACAAGATAGACAAAATGACACATGCCCTCCTATTAGCAAGCACCAATTAAAAAAGGAACGCAGAAATGCTCGAAAAGGACGGAAACATCATCCAAAGGGTAAATTTTAATACAGAAATCAATATTCTATCATTTCTTCTGAAGACCATGAATTTGATTTCACTTATAAACTTAAAAATGTAATTTTACTTATAATTATTTACTACATAATCACTCACAGGTGTAGCATCTCCTAGTAATGATTCTATGATTGCTGAAGAAGGAGCTCCTGGTGCAGATTCATCAAGCGAACAATCAGATGCAGATATTGAAGATAATATTGATGAGCCTCATAAAAATAAAATTGCTTCATCTACTGCAAATCAAAATAATAATGATGCTAATGGAAATTGTCGAGTGAATACTTTAGAATCTGGATACAATTCTGAAAAACATGCAAATTCAGATTGTGTTAGAACTAGTCCAATAATGAATGCTGACAATTCATTAACAAACAATATAAATGGGATTATATCTAAGAAAGAGTCAGAACCTGGGGATTCTTCAAAGAAGAATAGTGATTTTGATTCTGGAGTTGCAAGTCCAGATAATAATAAAGACATAGGTAATGCAATTAGTTTTTATTGGTTAAATGGTTAGTTAGTAAATCAATTTTAACATACCACTTACAATACAATTCTCTTTCAATTGAAGTTTAATCTTTTCTATAATTGTCAATATCCACTTTAAAGAAAATGACAATTTAATTCTTTTTTTATACTTATGCATAGAAAATTTATTGTAAGTAGAAACTTTCAATATCTGATGTATTCAATGGAATAATGTTTTTAATATATTTTTCATAGGTAATGGGCAAATGTTAAAGAATGAAGTTGTTGCCCTGGGCTTAAGTATGCGAGCATCAGCAAATTTTGTGGATAGTAGACAGAAACAAAATACTCCACACTGCTCTTCAGAATCTGGTTCAGAAGAAGAGAGTCCTCTTTCTAAAGTAGTTAATAAACTTGAGAATATTGCTCTTGAAGATGATGGTAAAGATGATGATTCAGAAATAGGTGCTTGTGGTTACAGCAAATCACACAAACAAGCAACTAACAAAGTAGTAAAAGATAAAGTTCCATCTAAGGCCGATGGTTGGATTACAACTTTGGGCTCCAGATATATTTGTGATGAATCCGAATGTTCTATTCAATCTTGTTTAAATCAATTTACAGCTTTAGAATTGATGACGGGTAATAACAAAGTCTGTTGTGATGCTTGTACTGAACGTATCAATGGGGCAGGTGGTAAAAGTGTTAATACAAATGCTACAAAGCAATTTTTAATTTCGAGTCCCCCACCTGTTCTGATTTTACACCTGAAGAGGTTTCAAGTAGGACCACGATGTATGTTTAGAAAATTAACTAAGAGTGTTACATTTCCTATTATTTTAGACATTGCTCCATTTTGTGGAGCAAAAGTAAAAGATTTACCAAATGTTTCAAGCTCACAAAATAAATTATTGTATTCCTTATATGGGGTTGTGGAACACAGTGGGGGCATGAGAGGTGGGCACTATGTGGCTTATGTCAAATCTAGAAATCCTTTAACAAAATCAGATTCTCGTTGGGGATTTTTACTTAACAGGCATAAGCCAGAATCAAATGGGCTAAATAAAGTCAATGGTAAATCTAGTGGAAAAATGAAGAAAGATGATGATAGTTCTTTATCAGGATATGAATCGGAAGATGGACCTTCACAATCGGAAAAATGTGAAGAACCTGAGGGCAAATGGTATTACATATCTGATAGTTATGTAAAAGAAGTTACGGAGAAGGTCGTATTAAATACTCAGGCTTATTTATTGTTTTATGAGCGAATTTTATAAGTGCACTATGCGTGCATATTGTCAATGTTTAATATTCATGTGTTCAATATATTTCAAATGGAATATTCATTGACGTAAAAATTACAATTTTGTATATGTATATTTCCTACCAGTTTGACTTAATATTTAATAGATTTAAGTAGTAATAAGAAAAAACGAATGATATAGAATTGTCTACATAAATAACAGAGTCTGCAAAATCGTATTATTTGATCAATTTTATTCTACTCCATAATCTCGTCTCTTACTGATATGTTAACTCTTTTAAATTAAAATTTTGTTACACGATTTTTAAAGTGATGTTTTTCTTTGTTAGAAAACTTATTGTTGTAAGTATTTGAATATTATAAATATTATATTTGTCGTACTTTTTATAACTCATTTAAAAATAGATTGAGTTTAAACATAGCTAATAAATTAAACAACAAAATATTTAATGTGTTTTATCTAATGTGTTGTTGTGATCAAAATTATAGATAATTTATTATATTATCTGTTACTAAAAATGTATTTCTATAAAAACGAAATTACTTGAAGGCATGCTAATGCGTAATTATTAATGGTATAGGTATCTATTTTGTTATTAAATCTGATTTATCTGTTGTTTTCTCCTAAACAAAATGTTATACCTTACATTGGTATTTTGTTTTGCAAAGCTCAAGATTGAAATGAATTGTGTGATCAAAATGTGAAGTGTTTTGTTAATCTTTTTCTGGGTTTGGTTATATTGACTTGTAGTATTTTATTCATTTTTGCAAAGTGAAAATACCGCATGATTTGATGATGGGCATTATTTAAATAGTATTTGTACTAAAGAGTAAAAGCCTTTACTTAAACTTTATTTCTGAACTCTTCTAATTCAAAACAATTGTAAATAGGTCTATATAATGAAACCTGTTTTTGTGCTGCCTTTTTTATGTGATTTCATTTTTGTTCAATTTTATTATTATGCGGTACAGGTAACCCCCGTATAACACGGTAGATACGTTCCAAAAAACTGGTACAAAAAGAGGAATTACATTCCAAGAATTCAGAAAAAACATATTACATATCATGATTTTTTTAAATAAATATTGTTATATTCATTAATTTTTTTAAAAGAAGTAATACATGAATAATATGAATTACTCAAAATTAACTAGTAACCGCTATCATTTTTTTTTTCAAGATATCCTTATCTTCTGAGCAGTTTTCTGTACCTACCTCCAGATCTGTGGGTTATTTTTGCAAAACAAATTATATTTGCGATTTCTTTCTTTGAGCGAAATGATATTTATATAGTAACCACATGCAATAAGTTATCTTCATTAAACTATATGCTCATGACATTTCTGATACTATTAACTGTCCACATTTATTATTTGCAGATGATCTGAAACTATATCTCAAAATAAATTCTATTGATGACTGCTTATTATTACAGTCTCAACTTGACCTTTTCCAATCTTGGTGTATCTATAACAAATTACATCTAAATATATCAAAGTGCAAGATTCTTAGTTTTACACATAAGCGCGTTCCAATACTTTTTGATTATAAAATTTCTAACACCAGCATTGATAGATGTAATAAAATTTCCGATTTAGGTGTTCTATTTGATTCTGGTTTGTTTTTCACAGATCATGTTACAGATATTTGCAATAGAGCACATCAATCTTTAGGTTTGATACTAAGAAATTGTAAACAATTTAAGTCTACCAATGCACTTCTTTGCATGTACTATTCTATTGTACGTTCAAAATTAGAATACGGTTCGATTATTTGGTATCCTCATCATATCAACAACTCTGATGCGATAGAGAAGGTTCAGCGAAAATTTCTGAAATACCTTTATTATAAAACATATAAAATTTACCCTGAACGTGGCTTTGACCACAACACTTTACTAAAAGAATTTGGTATTCCTTCCCTTGCCTCACGTCGATTTATCTGTACAATTATGTTCTTATTTAAGCTTTGCAATAATTCTATAGACTGTCCTCTTATTCTTAATCAACTATCCTTTAATGTTCCAAGGCTATCTTCGCGTTCACAATTATTTTTCAATTATCCCACCCCTAAATCTAATTCTCTCTTAAATTCGCCAATTTTACTAATGTCCTCTAACTTTAACTTAATTAATAATGAAATAGACATTCACAACACATCACCTAATCAAATAATCTCCATCTGCACAAGTTAATCTTTTTATTTTCTTTCAAATATCTTATTATTTTCTGTTTATAAATATTATTGTTACATTCTGCATTATATGAAATCTTATCGTAGCATTTTATGTTACTAACTATATATTGTAATTTTGTGTATATTTTAATTGTTATTCATTATGTCAAATAATTGTATTTTTGAGTCCTCTTGGAGAAATCTGTGGGCTATATATTTAAATAAATAAATAAATAAATAAATGCTCATTTTATTTAAAGGATCTTTGTTTAAGACTAATTGACTAATTGTTCGGATAAGCCTAGAATTTTTTTTCGATAGAGAAAGTACGCCCTCGATAATATCAAATTAGTTATGTTTTGCATTAGTTTCATCACATTTATTAAGCTAATGGCGATTTTACTAATTTTAGATTGAATAAAGTTTGATTTTCATACGTTTTACTATATTTTTTATTTTATTAGGGTTTCGCTCAATTCTTAAACCGTGTTAGAGCGGATTCGTTCTTAAAAGTACTATGTTATAAGTCTCAATTCTTGAACCGTGTTATGCGGGTGTTGCCTGTACATAGATCTCGTCGCGCGACAGAGTTATGCAGAGTTTTAGCCACGATTCACGTGCTTAAAATTGAATATTTTTACAATGTTTTAGGTCCAATTTACTTTATTTACTTGAATGCTATTTCATAAATCATTAACAAAGTTGTTATATAATAACAGAATTTATAAAATTTTCGAATATCTTTTTGTATGATTTTTTTATACAATTCTATACTGCCCAAAAATAGAATTTGCTCTAAAATTGGTAAAATATTTGTTTTTTATTAATTGTTTTTTTAGTATACATGTGTGCAGTCATAGATAAACAAGTATAATAGATCGCTATGTCTGGCGGTTTGACGTTACCTCGATTGAAATACAAATTTTTAAAAATAGATGGCAGCACATGTATAATATTTTAATTACCCCTGGTTTTACTTCTTAATTTGTACGTATCGTATACAGCCCCAAAAACCTGAATAATTTTTAATATTGGAAATAAGAACAAATCATACGAAATACAAAATATATATTTTCAAAGATATTACATATGTTCAAAGAACAATTAAAATTATGTTTATATTAACAATTATAATTACAGTTATGGAATGTTTGAAAATATAATAATTATTATACATAATTATAAAAGTATTATAATTTCACAATTATGCTTAAATAATATTTCAAAAACTAAATATCTAAGTGAAGAAAATCACAGAAGTATTTAACTAAACTAAGCACAAATAACTGACTAATATTAATTACTTAATGACTAATATTAATATATTAAAATCTTAAAAACTAAGAAGAAACTACAAGCACAGAAGCACGCAATGAAATTACAAATTTAGAAGGAATGACAAATAATACAAAAATTTAAAGGGTTAAGAAAAAAACAAATAATTTGTTAAAAAGTACAAATACTTCACAAACAAAAAAGTCCTAAAAACATAAAATATATATATTGATATCAAAATTGAGAGAAATTCAAATTCCTAGGATTAAAACTCATTTACGAGACATTGTTCTTTATTAATTCTGCATGTAATAGTTATTTCGCTATCTAATGAATTAATACTAAAGTTGCATTTAACAAAACCTTCGAATAGTTTCTGTACGAGTGTTTTATAACATTACGTTTAGCCATGTTCCATCATGAAAACATTATCATTGAAATTGCCATAAAAGATCAACAAAGTGTTTACAATGAACAGAATAATGTTTTATGCACATACAATTGTTTATGAATCAAAAGATAAAAGCAATATTTTTGATTCCCAAGGTCGGTAACAAATATATCTTGAATTTAAACATTATATTGGGATGTTACACAAGTTTTATTTGAAGAATATTATAACACTAATCTTCAATCAAAATACATTAAAATATTATGTATGGTATAGACTCTCTTTATAAGTGTTTACATTTGCTAATGTAATAGATAATCTTATTAAATATAACAATGAACTTACGTTGATGAACATTTAAACCAATACTAGTTTACTTTATAAGTGTTTACATTTGCTAATGTAATAGATAATCTTATTAAATATAACAATGAACTTACATTGATGAACATTTAAACCAATACTAGTTTACTTTATAAGTGTTTACATTTGGTAATGCAATAGATAATCTTATTAAATATAACAATGAACTTACGTTGATGAACATTTAAACCATACTAGCTGAATAACTGTTTTGCAACTTCAACAATATGAGATTTAATCCAATCATATAACAATTCCGAAGATAATGGTATTTCATCAAACATCAAAACACAGTATCTGCTACTAATACTTTTTAAAAGAAATAGCTGAACCTAATGTTTTAAATAGACACTCTTAAATACCGCTATACACTTGTATCTCTGAATGCAACTTTCTCAATGTTTGAGGACATGGCAAAATAAATATTTGTCTCCAAAAATAGTAGACCTTTGGAAACTTTTTGTACGACTTATTCCTTAAATTATTGCATTGTTTATGAATCCTTCTTGTCATTACATATTGCATTCCTTAGTTGTCAAAAGTACTCCTGCGCTTTGTTCGTGCATTTTGCAGCAATTTGCAGGTACCCCCAAGACACCTATTCAATATAATAATATGTCGACATATCTTGATTATATATAATTATTGCTGCAATTATTATTAAAAAATACCTTTGCGGAAACTTGTATTGGAATAGCTAAATATTTTAACCCGCACTTGACACTTTTTTGGGTACTATAAAAACACTTTGCCATATTGAATTTCACAAATGTTCACTTAAACAAAATTAATTAATTAGAAACAACACGAGTTCAAAAAGTTAGGTTATTCGTTCAGCCATACAGCGATCAAATACTTGACAGCCACTTGCATGAACCGTGAACAATTTGTAGTTGAAATTGGGTGCACATGAGCCATCTGTTTTTAAAAATTGAAACTACTCAGGACCAAAACAGTGCAACGCGCATTTGTTCGAAGATAACTCCCCATGTGTGCAGTACCGCCGCAGTGATATCCCGCACATAGATAAGTAAACATAACTAGATCGCTATCTGAGGCCATTTGACATTACCGCCATTTTAATATTTTTAGCGATCTAAAGGAGGCAGCACTTGTTCAGTATATAAATCAACCGCTGGTATTATTCCTAGATATGGTTCGCATACGTAATTCAAAATAAGAAAACCTAAATAATTTCTTATATTGGAAATGAGAAAAAAAATATACGAAGTACAAAATATATTTTCAAATATATCACAAACATTTTTACATAACAATTAAATTTTTTATAAATGTAATAATCAATATATACACAATAATAAGTATTATAATTTTACATTTATAAATAACTAGAAAAAGTATTCACAATGGTATGATAAATTTACAAGGAACAATCAATATGATTTACTTAATGATCAATAATATATAACAGAGATTGTGTAGTTCGGAATAACAAATTCAGAAGGAATCACAAATAATGCAAAAATTTAAAAAGTTAAAAAGAACAAATAACTTGTTAAAAAGTACAAATACTTCATAAACAAAAAATCATAAGAACATAATATAATAATATTATAAATAATATTTATATATATATATATAAATATATTGATATCAAAATTGAGAGTAAACTGAATTCCTAGGATTAAAATTCATTTACGAAACATTCTTCTTTATTAACTCTGCATTTAATAGTTATTTTGCTATCTAATCAATCATTAATAAAGCTGCATTTGACGAAATCTTTGAATAGATTCTATATGAATGTTTTTTTAAACATTACATTCAATCGTGTCATGATCATGATGAAAACGTTATCATCAAAATTGCCATAAAAGATCAAAAAGTATCAACATTGTGTTTACTATGAACAGAAAAAAGTTTTATGCACGTGCAATTGTTCATCTACATCAACAATAAGAGATTTTAAATCAGAACTATTAACCCCACCTTCAGAAAAGTAAAAAGCAACTGGTTGCTTCCAACGATTCTTCACTCCTTTAATCATGAAAACAAGTGCATGATCCGGAAATAAACATTTTCTGCCATTTGCTAACTCTACAAAACCAACAATGTGATCCTTTTTACGATCATATGACAATTCTGAAGATAGTGATATTTCATCAAACATCAAAACACAGTATTTGCTACTCTCATACTTTTTATGAGAAATAGCTGAACTTAATTAAAAAGACACTCATTTATACCGCTATACAAAGGTATCTCTGAAAGCAACTTTCTCTACCTGAGTATTTATCTACCTGAGATGGGATTAATATTCTTTGACAATCGGTATGTCTATGCTTTCACATTACATTTGTGAATCGACACACCAAGTTCTAAAATAATATAAGTTTTTTAAAATCTAACTATCAAATACATATATAAATTTTATTATTATTCTTACGGAATCTATGTTTATCCAGGAGACAATTCTCTTCTAGGTAAGGATTCCCAACAAATCGGTAGGGCATTAATTTTCAAATTTGTCTTCGAACTTTTTGGCAAATTTTCAACTTTACAAACATTTGTAAAGTGCGCATCACAGACATAACAACGTTTGCCACAATATAATGGAGTTAAATCGTCCATTAAAGGATTATTCGTCCTCTGCACCCAAATTGAAAACATCTAAAACATTTTCATTATATTTTTATTATACAAATTTATTATATAAACACAATACATCATTATATACATACCTGATCATTAGATGCCGGAAAGACATGCAACTTTATATTATTTCTGGAGTTACCACAATTTGGTTCACTGCACTTTGCCATATTAATTTGATAATAATTCCTTGAACACAATTAATTATAAACAAAATACTTCACAACGTAAATAAATGCTTCACTACGGCTTCACCGGCTTCACTATATAAGAAGGTAAAATGGCGATTAATTTCCGCTCAGCCATCTATTTTCTTTTCGATTAATGAGATTGAAACAAGTAGCGACATCTTTTTTTCGCTAAAAATATTAATCCTCGCCAAAACAGTGTAACGACTAACGAGCATTTGTTCGGAGATAACTCCCCATGATCCCGCATTCGTTTCGGGAGAAAGTTCGTTGTGCGAAAAGTTCGCTATGCAAAACGCGTTTTTCCATACCAAATACATAAAAATAAAATTCATTCGTTCTGTAGTCATAGAAAATAAGATATTTTTACATATAATTAAGACATCTAAAAAAATATTACTGATTTACGAAGTAAGTTATCAGAGTCGTACTGCTTTCTTTTGCGCCCTTGTAGTTTCTGCGTTGTTAAAGAAACCGTCGATGATAGTTTGCTTCGAAAATTCTTTGAATTAATTTGAGCAACATATGTTTTTTGAGTACAAATGACAACGATTTTGTACGTTGTGTGAAGCAAAGTTCGTTGCGTGGAACGTTCCAAACCGAAAAGAAAAGTTCGTTATGCGCATTGTTTATTGTGCGAGGCGTACGTTACGCGGGGTATCACTGTACAAAAATAATGTTTCGTTGGGTTCTTCAGAAAGTATTTTCGTTTCGTTACAGACATTTTTTATAATAAACAAATACTTCGCTAAATTAAGTATATATTGGCCATTTCGGTCGAACATCTTTTGTCATATTTCTTGTAGTAGCATAATTCCGTAATCATAATTTTTTTGGTCATTACACTAAACTGATCAAAATGTTTTTTTACTCAATCATTTGAGGTAAAGGTTTTACCGTCTAAACATTTTTTTAGTGACCAACACAAATAAAAGTTCGATGATGTAATATGGTCTGAATAATATGGTGTGTGGGGCATTGTGTCCCATTGAAGCTGTAAATCTTTTGGTGATTGACCAAACTTATGTGTGGTCGCGCGTCGTCTTGATGAAATACTACACCGTAACTGTTGATTAATTCTGACCTTTTCTGTTGAAGTACTTCATTTAGTTTATTCAGCTAATCATAATAGGCATCCGAATTAACCGTTCTGGATAAGCTGGAAAACAATTCCTTACAAATCTCACCAGACATACAGCATCAACTTTTTCTGGTGGATGAGATGACATGTGTTGTTATTCGCCGGTTTCGTGACTATTAACATCAAAATTTCTTGATTGAAATTTGACAAACCAGTTTTGGCACTATCATACTAACAATAAGTACAAATCGGTTTTAAAAATCATCTTTCAACCTTTAGTGTGTGAAAACAGTTCATAATTAAAGGGGCGCCATTCAAAAACTACTGTGCATAATTGATTATAATTTTGAACAAAACAAACATTAAAATATAAGTTTCAAAATCACATAATAAATTATTGGGCTTAAGTGTGATGTTAGGTACAAAAAAATATAATTAAATCCTCTGTTGTAAAAAAAATATATATTTTACAAACAACCCTATATTTTACTTTTGGTAAGAATAACTAATCTCACTTGTGACTAATTTGTTTACTTCTTATTTAATTGAAATTAGAACGATTATATTTTAGCATATTTATTCTGATTTACATTATATGTACTTATGATATTCATAAATCTAAACCACAGTAAATTTTTCTTGCACTTTGTGCAAAACTATATTCCAGTGTTGTCTGCCTTTGACACAGCTCAACATTTTGTTGCATTTTGCAATCTTTCACTAATATCTGCCCAGTTGGCAACATCGAAAATTGCTTTTACATAGTCAGCCCTGACATTTTTATATTGAAGGTAGTATGCATGTTCCCAGACGTCAATTCCAAATAGTGGAACCAGACCTGATGATAAAAAAACACAATTAAATTACAGAATGTACATTGGATAAAACATATATACATGTCCAGGAATACCCCGCTTAATACTGTTCCTTTTAGCGCTCTTTTATTTCAACCCTGGTTTTGAAGGGGTAAATGTGGAAGATTTAGAAAATTAAAGACGCAGCTTAGTCTTTCTAATGATGAGCTCATGGTATAAACTGAACGAGAAAAAAACAAAAATGTTGACAGCAGTGATTCAGAGGAAGAGCAAAAAGAACTTTCGATGGCGTATGTAAAAAGGAGTTTGTTTACCAGAACTAAAATAATGGATAATTCATTGATGGTGTTAGAGATGCTCTATCCGTTTATGAAGAACTTTTAGCAGAACAATGCAAAAAAAAGGCAAGCAGCATTAGATGCTTTTGTCACAAAAAAGCAGAACACTGAAAACGCAGAAGGCTAACTAAATATGACTGACATAGAATTTTATGTGGTATTAATTTCGGCTTTAAGAAATGAATGTTTGAGAAAAAACTTTTTAAATTTAATACCTAACCTAACCAATTTCCTAGCCTTCTTTCCCTAACCCCTATATTTCCATGTTAAGATAGCCTCATTTGCGCTGTTTCGCATTGCCATCTACCTTGATGGAGCATATCCCCCGCATTGAGAGGGGTATTACTGTACATGCAGAAACACATTCAAAATGTATGTTTTCTTTAAGTGAGTTATCTTAAAAAAATCAAATATTTTTTTAAATTATATTTATTGCATAAATGTACCAGTGGTTGCTTCCAATGGATCTTGATTTGCGCATGTAGCTATTTGTAACTTTTTAGCAGTTTTATTATAAGCCAGCCATCCCCATCCTGAGCCTTGAACACCTACAGCTGCTGTAGACAAAGCAGTTTTCATCTTATCCATAGATCCAAAATCACTGAAATTTATAAAAAAAAAATATATTTATGCACAATTAAGAGAAAGTAAATTCAATCCCTGTTTGCAATTAATACCATTCAATCATTTTCTGTAGCTGGTCACTTGGTTTACCCCCCTTCGGGGAAAGGTTTTTCCAAAAGATAGAATGATTGATGTGTCCTCCTCCATTGAATTTCAATGCAGGTTGTAAATTGATTATTGTTTGCACGCAATTTGCTTTGATTGCGGCGTTTAATTTTTCTTCTGCCGCATTATAATTTGTGACATATGTTTGGTGATGTTTGCTGTGATGTAGAGCCATAATGTCCCTTGAAATAATTGGTTCCAATGCATTATATTCATAACCAAGTTCCGGCAGCTGGTGAGCACTGCGATTGCTTACAGATGTTGATAATGGTGTCGCCAGTAACCTAATTACAACAAGAAATATATTCTGATTATTTTCAAAATAATTATTACAAACTAAGCTTAAATATAAATGATAAATTTATCATGTATTGCTTCAAATTTTACTGAGTAATATTCTTTAACATAGTTGGTTCAATTTAAAATTGTAAAAGATGAAGATCAATCTACAATCAAATACCTACTAATGTTAATATAAAAATAGTTAATTAAAGAAAATAAATGTTCTTAGAAGCAAGTAAAAGTGAGAAAAAAATTATTGGTTAGGGTATCTATTTTGCTCCGGAATTTTCAATTAACAACGTCAATAAATTGAAATATATGTAAGTTTATCACCTGGTTGCATGTTTCAGTGATCTTCCACCAACAATCATTTTTACTGCAAATTTTTATAAAAAATGGCAAATCTGCAAACAAAAGAAAAACTATATAACACGTATTCCATCAAAAATTTTAAATAAGCACATCTACAAAATTATTATAACAAACGTAATAATTTGATTTTCTGTATTTATAATTTACAGATATTCGATTTGATTTATCACTTACCTAATATATTTAAAGTATATCGAAGGTCATTTAAAATAATATAAGAAGGATTGCCGGTTGAGGCACGAACTTGATTTGTTTCTTCGATTAGGTTTTTATTTTGGAACATTCCTGTATTTCTTATTATATTAGTTCTGATATTATTATCTAGAGTGCGCTACTAGCTGGTTTTAAAATACAGTAGAACCTCGATTAACCCAATTAACCAGACTAATTGTTGTCGATGGGCATTCGGATAATCCAAAATCCGGATAATCCAATTTATGAAGAAAAATGTTGTGTATTTATTAAAAATAACAATTATATACATATCATACATAGATATCAACGAAAATTAATGTTTATTAAGAAATTAACACTTTCCTATGTTTGTACTAAAGATGGGCTTATTATATCCGAAGCCAGATCGACTCGGATTTGACTCCGCTTCATGGTGGAGTTATGTCCGCTAAACAACTCCACGACTCCGACAATTTTGAAAATGAAATACTCGAAACAAATGTGTTCTATAGTAGGCTGTTTATGTATTTAAGGATTTGTCAAATTCCATTAATTATTTGTAATAAAAATTTATGAATAATTATCAATAAAATAATTTTTCTAAAAAATTAACGAATAAATAACGGATTGTAAAATTTTTCGGTCGACCAGATGATCGACTCAGTGACTCGTATTTTTAGCACTGTTGACCAAAGTAAAAACGCAAAACTTGAGAATCAAATTCAATTTAATGATTTCCTTTTGATGAGAAAATAATTGATTTTTTTGATTAATTTTATATAAAAATTATGTAGTAAACTTTGTAATAAAAGCAAAACATAATACTTCTGCTTTCAAAATTTTTCTTCTGCTCTTTCCAGTTGAAAATTAATATTATATCGCGTAGTTCGATTAGCATATTATCACTTTTACACTATTATATAATTGTGTAAAAGTAATAATATAATACTGAATATTTTTTACTGCTTAAATGCTAATGATATCACTGATAAATTTTGTACTCTAAAGTGTTGTTATTTCAGCCTATGGAAAAAATATTAAATAAATGCATTTCGTCATTTACGGCCAAAGATTGTCGTAGTTAGAAATATGACCCCTTACTATTCAATAAATTATACATTTGAGCTATTCACACTTGTATACAATTTCATTGTTCTGTATCTTTAAAGTAACATTTTTGTATTTTCTGGAAAATACACAATGGTATTTATTTTGACTTTTATACTTAAAAATGGTCATAAAACTGCCTGCGAGACAAGAAAGTGATCGCTTCCTTCCCAAATCAAAAACGACAAAAACACTAAATGCCTGTACGAGTTAACAGATTTAATAACAGTTTAACGAAGTCGGATATGACAAATCCTGTGAAACAACTCCACTCGGATTCACTCCGAGGGAAGAGTTGTACCCGAATGATAACTCCGGAGTGAGTTACGCATCTCTAGTTTGTACATACCTATTTTCTTCGATTACATTACGTACATGTACTAAATTGCAGCATTAATCATGCTAAAATTCGAATTGTAGGTATATACATACATATAAATTGGTCGCGGTTGGTAATCCGGCAATCCGTATAACCGAGGTCCGGATAATTTAGGTTCTACTATGCGGACTAAAGCGTGAGGCACAATTATAAAATGGGCTCGACCATTTATATTTGTTTATCTATGGCCTCGATTTAACTATTTAGCTTTGGTTTATTGAAATGCAATGCGGCGTTTATACTAAAAAATATACTGTAAATTGTAGTGCATGGTATCGTGCTTTAGGACAAATTGTTGAAACTTCCCGTACAGCAATAAAATTTTAAAAAGTTTTGAAAATTGAACCTTTTTAAAAAATTTAAAATTTTTATTCGAAATTTTGAGATTTTTTTTCAAATAAAAAAATCGGGGCGCGTAAGCTAACGCCTAAACATTATAAATCTTACGGAACCCATAGAAATGTAAACAAAACACATACATATTATTAAAATCTCTGATAATTTACGTCTAATAATCATTTTTAATAGCCATTACTTTATTTATTGGATCTCCGCCTTCATAAAAATTTCACTACTATCAGTTCTTCATTTTGTTAATACAAGTGAAATATTTTTTAACTAATTCAAATCTGATGCTCTACAAAACTGAGTTACCATTTCTGACACTTTTTACCCCGTATTTTCGTAACGGCTAGATCTGCCTTGGCTACAAACTAATTAGCATGTCTTCCTATCAGTAGGAATCGAATGTTTATTGAATCATACCAATTGGTTGATCCTTGTTCTCAAAATCGTCGAAAAAATTGTATCCGCACTACATATACACAACCACACACACATACATAATTTTTTTCTAATTATAAGGTATGCTAAAATGTTCAAAAACTTTAACCTAATCTCTAGTTCTAAATATCTATCTAGCGAGCATTCTTTTGAGGTCTGCGAACAGAAAATAGTCGTTGGGGGACTGATCTAGATGGTGGGCCGGTCGGCGGATAGGGAAGCGATTCCAAACCCAATTCGACAAATTTTTCTAATGTTTTGAATGATTTGTGACACGTTTCATAGTCTTGATAAAACTGAACTGATCTTCTTTAAATCTGCCTTTTTTGCAATTTCGACCTTCATATGCTTCAATAACTGGATATAGTCACTATTAATGGTCTTTTCTTCCTCAAGATAGCCGATGAAGATCATTTTTCGTGAATCCAAAAACTGAGGTCATAACCTTGCCAGCTAATCGTTTGTGTTTTTCTCGATTACCGCGTCCAGTCCACTTGAACGACCGTCTATTAAATTTCGGGGTGTAGTGATAAAGCCAGATCACATCTATGGTAACATACCGGCGCAAAAACTGAGTTTTATTTTGGTTTCATAAACATCTCTAAACACTGCTCCGAATCATCAACTAAGTAATTATGGTTTTTGGTCAAATGTGAGAACGCGCAGCATACGTTTTGCATAGAGCTTTCTTATATCTAAATATTCAGGCACAATATATCCAACAAGCTTTCTTAATATCTTCAAATTCTCAGCTATCTCTGTCAACTTCACTTCACGTTGATTGAAAATTGTTTTTTGGATTTTTTTATGTTTTTGCCACCTCCCTTAGGCGCTCTTTGCACTATAATAGGGCAGAATCTTGAACGGTATTAAAATATTGTTTTGTCTCGATTGTATATGTAAACCTGCATAATATTGTCATAGCTACTAGCATACCTACTAGCAGGTGCGTTATTTTTTACATTTGAATTAAAATTGTACTATAAAAAGTTTGGTTTGCGTTATTATTTTCGATTGATTAAAAATTTTATGTACTTTAACATGCTTTAAATTTATCAATCTTTGAGAGTGTGTGATAATTTTTGTAATTGCTAAATTGTTTAAATAGTTATCTTGGTTAATGTAAAAAATATTCCTGGGGTTAGTTATAACACATTACAATATGCCCCGAATTTTATTTTGTTTCTTGCCGTTCCGGATATTATCAAAAAATTATAAATTTTTAGGTCTTATTAATGTTAACGGGTGTAACTTTTTGATATCTAAATAAAACACCAACAGAATGAAAAGATTTCTGCCACTGGCCAAAGAAACGATACTGTGTTTATGACAGTGTTGAAAATTTGGGTGATTTGAATCTATCTGAAATCTAACTGAAGTCCTAAGGCAAAAATAAAATTAAAAATATTAAATGCCCATATAAAACTATACATAATGAAAGACAATGTTGCCGAATGCATAATTTCAAAGAGTTCAAATAGAAGCTCACTAATAATTTTGAACTTTAACTTTCGAATCAATGAAGATTAGTAGAAAATGAGGAAATTAAGTTTCTGACTGTTTGGCATAAGTGCTTTAGGCCAGCGACAAGACCCGACTTGAACTATGCATACTTTACATTTTTTATAAAAATTGATTGCAAAGATTAACACAAACAGAGTTTTATCCAATCACTAATTATAGCTGAAAAATAAAATTCATTAAAAAAAACTGATTTTTATTGTATCCTTAAAGTATTGTTATTTTAAATCATATTTAAATTATTCAGCGCTTCGTTCGTCTCGGATCAGTGTGGTATAAGGTTGGCAGCTAAGTGCGGCTTCTACTCTCAGATTATTTCAATTGAATTTTTAGGTTTGCTAACGTACTCTAAATATTGAACTCTATTTAGTTCGTTTTCGTTTATTGTATAGTAAGTAATTCAGCTGTCAATTAGTAAAAAATAGTTTTTTGATCGGTTGCATAGCTTTCGTTTGGCGTTTGTTGAAAGATGGAAAATCAAAGCAAACATTTTTGTATTATTAAGTATCTTTATTTCTTTAAAAGAAAAAACGCATCTTTAGCTACCAAAGGTTGAGTTCTGATTATGGCGGCAACTTAAAAACAGTTATTTCAAAATTTGTTTGCTAAATGTCCTTCTGATGAATTTACACCCAAAGTTGAAAAGCGCTCTAATCGCTCACTTGAAGTTGTGGACAACCCAATCAAAGCAATGATCGATTCAGATCATGTCACTACAAAGTGTGAGATTTAAGACAAATAATTTGGCTATGTTTAAACTTACTGGAACTTGGTTGGAATGTTTTTTTACATCCACCATATACTCCTAAGCATGTACCATCTGATTGCCTTTTGTTTTAATGTTAATAAAACTCCTTGGATTTAAAAAATAATAATGATGGTGGTGTCATTTGTACCTGATTCAGTTTTTCGCTAATAAAAACTTTGTAAATATGTTTTTAGATGTGGAATAATAATGCTGCTTGAATGGTAACAAAAGGTGATTAATCAAAATGGACAATATATCATAAAACAAAATTATTTAATTTCATAAAAAACTTGTCAATGATTTTCTAACAAAAATTTTCTAACAAAATGGGCAATATATCATAAAACAAAATTATTTAATTTCATAAAAAAATTGTCAATGATTTTCTAACAAAAATTTTCTAACAAAAATTTTCTAACAAAATGGGCAATATATCATAAAACAAAATTATTTAATTTCATAAAAAAATTGTCATTGATTTTCTAACAAAAATTCGCACTTACTTAGTTGCCAACCCTATAACTAAAAGTTTTCGTTCCGGT